TCGGTTAAAGAGTCAAACATCCATCCTTTCATTTGTGGCATTTCTTTCTCAAAGCGACTTTTCAAGTTTTAACCAGTCATTTGTGAAATTGCTTATTAGTGTGTGAGTTGCATATTCACAACTTACAGTTTTCAAAAAAGGAACTGGAGGGATGTTGTCAATGATTATAAATACTTGAAGAGAGGGTGCAAAGAAGATGGAGCCAGGCTCTCTTCAGTGTTGCCAAGAGGCAATGGACACATACTGGAACACAGGAGGTTCCCACTGAACTCAAGAAGCATTTCTGTGTTGTGCATACACTGCCATGAGTTGCTAGAGAGGTGGAGAAGTCTCCTTTCTTGGAGATCTTCAGATGCTGCCTGGATGTGGGCCTTGGCAACCTGTTCTGGGTGGCCCTGCCTGGACAGGTTGGAGCACGTGTCTGCCAGAGGTCCTTTCTAACTTCAACCATTCTGTGATTCTCTGAAGCTTTCAGATGTAGGGCAAAGGACAACTCTAACTTTTGGTGAAATAATCCATAATTGAGGAAACAGATTCGTCCTAAAAATACAACCACTGTGGACCATCTGTGAAAAGAATATCTCTTTCATTTTGTCTACTTAAACTGAACTGAAGAAAGAAAAAAATGATAGTGTAACCATCAAAAGCAGGATGAGATTGCATCGTTATCATTTTAGATGCTTTTTTTTAAAAAATATATATAGAGGTTGAACTAACTTGTACTGCATTACATGTCATCTTCTTTGCCCTGGAGAAGGTGCAAACGGGAGTTCTGCTATAAGATATGTGCCATGAAAAAGCATGAGTTAGACCAAGTTTAATTTTGTTCACTTTCCATGTCTGTGATTACTTGAGAGGCTGAACAACCAATTATCTTCCCAGTTAACTTCAGACATATATAAAAAAGAATTGCACAGTCACATCATTTAGGGCTCAAGGGACCTCTCATCCATCCCCTCTATTGCTCAAGCAAGGTAAGGTAAAGTTGTCCAGAGTGACAGTAAGTCAGGTTTTGAGTACATTCACACATATAGGTTGTTGACTGGTGGCTGTTGATCCAGAAAATTTTATTCCCCTTCTCATGAAAACTGACTACAAAACTAATGTAGGCAGATTAACAGAGTACTGTATTCTTACAGTCTGCTAATTATAACCTGTAATAAATGTCTGTGATAATGTTGTACCAGAAGTGAATCAACACTTCAAGCATCCTCTTGGAGATATTTAAAAAAAAAAAAAAAGATGCAAACAAAAACAAGTTTGCCTTCCCACCCTTAGTAAGAGTTAAGGTAGAAGTGCTGTCTATTCTTTCTGCAACTCCTGGAATTCAGCACTGAACCTTTGGAAGAGCTACAATAGAAAACATCTTCATCTTCATATATGAGTCAAGCTTTTACCTCTTCTAGCAGTGAACATAAATGAAGAATACACATGCCTGTTTTTTTTTTTTTGTTATGTACTTCAGATACTTACTGGAATGCTGGTGATCCTTTTCAAGATAAGTTCCTAAAGAAATAAATAACAATCTTTCCTTAGCAGCATCTGTTGTCTGCAAATATCCTGGATGCTGCCCTTTCCAAATCCTGAGGTTGATAGGAGAAAACAAACCTGATTATATTGGATTAACACCTGTGTCACTAGTGTTAATTTTAGTGGGGCCAACTGTGGTTTTAATTTGAATTATTCTATGTTTGTAATTTTCATGGAGAAACTGTTAAGAGAGAAAAAAAAGAAATCACTGTTAAATGGCTCCACATCAGAAGACACAGTGAGCTCTTCCTTATCTCTCTTTTTCAGTTCGAGGGAACTTAACTGATTGTTGTTGTACTGGGTACTGTAAATGGGAGGTATTCTGAGATGTTACAGACTTAACAGCAATGCATCAAGGAGATAGTCCCTTCAGTGACTAGAAACTTTGTGATCCAAGTACATTACTGTTATGAAAAATGCATGACTTGAACTGGGATAAAGTTAAACGAGAGGTTGGTGACTCTCTTCAAAGATGTTGCTGGATGTTTTGCTCATCGTAATCACTGTTTTATCAGAGTGGCTCTATGTTGGATGCTCGCTCTTAAACATTTTCCCATGCTACTACAGAGGCAAAAAAATGCATTTTTACCCATCTGTAATCCTTGCAAAGAAAATCTCTGCTACAGAGATCCACTGGCTCATTATTTTTGTTATTTCAAATGTGCTATGCTTCCTAGGACTGACACAAAAATTACATAGAACTCAATCTGAGTGATGCGTTCCATAGAAGTGAAGCAGATAATTTAAATTACACTTATTTTAAGTATCTAATTTAGAGCTCTAGTCTTAAGCTTCAGAAGTCAAGTCCAAGGATTCTTTTATAGTCAGTGTTCTCCACTGTCCCTTTGGAGAGGTGAGAGGCAAGGCTTAAAAAACAGACTAGCAAATGAAGTAATGTGGGAGATTTGCTTTTCCATAGGGCAATTGACTCCAACTGTGATGCTTGGTTTGAATCAGATGGCTTCATTCTTGTAAAGGGTCAACTGAGCTTATGCTGATAGCTCTGGCAGTTTCCTAAGGGACATTGACATAGAACAAAGGTATTATAAAAATCGGGCTCAAAGCTTTTTAACAAATGTGTTGTGGCTTTACTCAGAAAAAGTATCTTGCTGTGTATTTATTATGAAGAGTTTGTGGAATGACCTAGTGATGCTGATTTGTACTAAAACTGCCCATATGCAGCAGTTCCTCACCCACATTTTCTAAATGGGAATGAGAAAAGAGAAACATGAAGAAATATGTGGCTCTTGCAATTAGGGCTATTTCATTTATCTTATTAACTATGCAAAATCATAAGGAAATAAATCTTTACTAGCAGTTAATAACCAGTTGGTTATTTGACAGCTGCAGGCAAGCCTGGTAATATAAAAATTATTGTCATTATGAACAGCTTCTAATAAGGAAAATGTTTATTAAAAATGTGAACACATTCCATTTCAACACTTACATGAAAATTTGTCTTTTCATGATGTTTAATAACTAATTTTCTGCTAGAATGACCCAGAATGATACCATATGTGTTCTGTATTAAAATTTACTGTTAAAATATCACTGTGTCCTGTAACAGGCATAGTTAATCTGCTGTTCAGACAGTATATGCAATATATATGTAGTGCAGCAAAATATCATTTTACAGCCTGTTCTATTTGTCATGTTAGTTGCAAATGGTATTAGTAAGACCCTGTTCTACTTTAAACCCTCTGAAATATTGTTATTATTGTTATTAAACCCTCTAAATATTGTTATTTTATTTGTTTAAAGTTGCAAGCTATCCTGGCACAACACTACAGACCAAAAATTAGCTTGAGCAGCTCCTCCTTGTATATTTTCTAATTATTGTGATGCTGATGCAACAGCAATTTTTTGCTTGCTATTTATAGGCACAACTGTAGAGGGCATGGAGAGGGAATACTTTCTTGGTAACCCTAGCTGAATACATGATGTTCACAGACAAATAGAATCTACTTGGTTCGTCTTCCTGATTTCTACTGAAATTGTATATATGTATATTAATGTCTTCTGGTTCGTAGGTGTAGTCATGCTGAAAGAGCTGAGAAAGTGTTTTCCTACGTGCATAGCAAAAAGTAGGGGGAAAGCAGTTTGTGGCAAGTTAAAGCTTGTGCTAATGAGGGGCAAGAGAAGCTGCTTTCTCTGCTTGATACAGCCTTTTTGCAATGTGAGTGGCAGCCTGCCACAATGACTACAATGACAAAAAGCAAAAAAATCCAGGAAAGAAATGGACAAAATTCACAATAAAGTTGCACATGATTGCAATGGAATAAATGTGTATGCAGGGATCTTCACCTTTAAGTCTCTCTGTCTATAGGAAGGGAAACATGAAAGTTTCCCTGCCGACATTTTTTGAGAACACAACAGTCTTTATTTATCAGAGGAAGCAACCACGGGTAGAGCAATGCTTCTCCCATACATTCTAACTTCTATAGATTAGTCACACCCAGGGAACAATACAGATATTCCTCTCTTACCACGTGTACATTGTAGTAGACATGAAAAAATGAACTCAAATATTTAGAACATATATCTTAGCTTTGCTTTCTCTACAGAAAGACAAAAGCTGAATCTCTAACCTGGAGATGTCAGTTCCATGAAATTTCAAGAATTCTTTAACAGATTGATAATGAAAAGACCGTATGATATTCTTGTTCTAATTTATGTAATTTACCTATAACTTTATTACTGCAACGTACTTTGAATTTGGTATTCTGACACTTGGAAGACTGGCAGGCCATTGGAAAATGTTTTATTTATTATGGAATGTGTCAGGTCACCTTTATAGATGGTATACATATTTTTTGTTTGTTTTTCATTTCAAGAAATGTCAGTTAAATGAAAAATAGTGCAGAATATCTATGGCTTCTACAGCATAATATCAGCTCTTTCAAATGTATTTTAATTATGTCCTAAAATCACTTTTGAATTACTTTCTTTAAATACAGTGTTATGAGCCTACATTGCAACCCACCAATGTTCAAAAAACATGATTTAGACCCTAGTAAATAGTGGGATTTATTTACATATTATACATATAATCTCTGAATATTAAATGTAGAAGTTCACTTTATCCTGCTTCTTTTGTTTTGAGCGTTCAGAGTCTTCTTGGCTCTCTTTTCAAAGTTTTATCAGTAAATAGAAGCCTGAAAGGTTTTGTTTCAGTTTTGCTTTGTTTCTTTTTTTAAAACCATACTACAATTTATATGAACTCTTCTTTGTAGGATATGGAATCAAAAAATACCTTCTTACAGGAGGACAGACCACAAATGATACTTTAAGATGAGATTTGACTGTAGCAAGAGGAGTTTAAAATGCAATTTACTGTCACAGGGAGAATAAAACATTACTCTGAAACATTAAATATTGTATCTAAAAGAAATAAAGCAAATATGTGAATAAAGGGATTTAAATATTTTCAAAATTTCCAAAATACTGTAACAATCTATTCTGTTCTACAGGAAACCGGTTAGCTCCAAAAGAAAAACTGGGAATCCCAGTGTTATTCATGCCAGATACAATGATAATGTATGAGGCTGTGATGGTAATTCATGTAATGAGGGAAAATGGTGAGAACTGGCCTTATGAGGATTCTGCTGAATTAAATAAAGACTTGAAGAGGTAATTTATTCTGATAGGAAGCAAAAAAAGTAGTTGAAGATACTCAATCCTGTCATCATTTTCTCCTTCAGATATTTGTGTATAGCTCCCAAAGGGGAGTCAAGTGTCTGATTTTGAGAGCACTAGGCATCCAACATGAGCTTTTAATGTATCCTGTAAAGTCTGTACTTTACAAAATGCAAGGTACTAGCTGTGAGTGTAGTTATGGATAAAGGAAAAGCAAAGCAAAGGAAAGCTCTTAGAGGTCTCTAATTTTTCACTGATAGTTGTTCTCCTGTGAACTCATTTATGCAATGCATAAACTTTGCATCAGCATGGATAATATGGCATAAGAGATCATATACTCAGATGCTAACATAATCTAAGACACTGAAGTATGTGGATGTATGACTTTTCTGGAATCATTGGATCTTATTCCATATTTTTCTGAGATATGTTTAGCTTATTACTTACAACTTACGATAAAAAGGAGTCTCACGCATGCAGCATCTCATAACTCTAGATTGCTTTGGAGGAAAAATTCTCAGTGGTCAATCGTGATGATAGTATTACAATGATAGTCTTTCATATTTCCTGAACTGATACTGTTCATTTATTCTCTGAATAGCGTTACTATATCAGAGGATGGGGGTATTCAGGGAATACTCTGGACCTATCCAATTCGTGGAATACCTGAAGCGCCGCATCAGAAATTAGTTCCAGGTAGGTAATTAATATAAAAAGCCTGAACAGTAAATGCAAGGAAATTAATTTGTGTTATCACAAAAATTTGATCATGAGAATTTGTGGTAGTATTTTACCACATTCTTAAAAAAGATAAGAACAGATTTGAAAAATCAAATCTCCTTTCCCAGCCTACGAAGTAAAAAAAGGTTTATTTTGTTTTTATCGTGGCTAAAAGAAGCCAGGAGATGATGGAATTCTCAAGGCTTCTGTCCTTTGCTTTTCCTGTTAATGCTAAGTTAGAGAACTGTAAATCAAACAAGAGACTGACGCCAGGGTAGTTTTCTACTTATCTGTCCAAGATGCCCCTCAAGAGAGATTACAGGTTAGATGTCCACTGTTTTGTGTTTTACTCTTTAACCAAAACCAGAATATAGATTGGTGTAAATAGCAGTAGGTTTTCCACTCGCTCCTGAGAACTAAACTTTCAATTAAAAATGACCGATATGTTCATAGGACATTTATTGTTATTTACTATGGGAATAGTAAGTGTTTCTTGATTTGATGCATCAATTTCTTAAATGTATAATCCCAGAATTGGGAAATATATGAATTGTGAAACATATAAATTGTGAACAGCCTTTGAAACCAAAAGCATGCAACAAGTCTCAAGGTGTAGACAGGGGACAGTTTTATACTAATTTAATATTTTCTTCTTCTCTTTTATCAAATTTTCTTTGGGTGACTGGATAAAATGCCTTTTTGCACTACAGGTTAAAATACAGGGATGACTTACGGAAAACACCAGAAATAGATGTTTTTACTGTCTTTAATTTAATTTGCTCAAGGACCTTTTACTTTCAGACAAATACCAGTGATGTCGTATTAATTGGAGCTTTCATCTCCCTGATTTCCACTTTAATATCTTAAGGAATGAAGCAGAATATTATTGTGCAACATGGTACTGTTGCCCAGAATTATTTTTTTAGCAAGTCTCATTTGCAATAAAACGATTGATGTGTTATCATGTTTAAAAGATGTGTTATCATATTTAAAACAGTTACATAATTCAAGGTAGACTTGGCTATAAATCTTTTGATCAGTCTTTTGTATTCATTAGGTGTAATATTCATAAATTAAAAGTGCTGGCATTCATGAATTGGTTCAGTGACATCACTGTTACATAAGATCAGAAATTTAAAAATGTCACATCTTCAATAATTTTAAATTCTTAAAAGTAAATCTGAAGTGTAAATTATTTGTAAATAGTTGTGTAGTTTGTGTTCAGTAAATGTTTGTAATGCATATAGATAATATTGCAGTCATTTTAAATGTATATTTATTTTGGCTATCATCACCTTTATTGACTTCTTTTTTCTTGAGGAAATACTAGAACTTCAATTGAAAAATGACCTAAAAGGTCTATTTGTGAGTGAGAAACCTGTTCCATTCCTGTCTTTATTTTGAATTCTTACGATTTCCAGAAATAAATTGACTTCTTAAAAAATCCTGCTATAATGTTTGTAATTTACAAGAAACCTGCTTTTCTTTTAAGGCAGTGTTTTTAATAGTGATTATAATTGTGTTGTCATGTCTCTTAATGAATATATTTATTGAAATTGCCTGGAGGCTACAAGCTGTTATGACAGAAAACAAAGCTGTTTTGCTAGAACGTTAGGCAGTACATCTTTTGTGTCATTCTTATTTGCATCTTTATAAACTTAGAGAAGTCATTTGGCTTAGTATCTCATGAGCCCAATTAAAACTATCAGCGGTCACAGAACATGTAGCAAATGTTCAGTAGATGACACATTGGCTAGTTTAAATAATGGAAATTACAAGTGAAAAAACAACAGCTTTTTTTTTATTTTTCTATTTCTTGCAAAGTGAAAGAAGCATAGAATTATTTAGATTGGGAAGTGCCACCAGAGGTCATCTAATCCAACACTGCTCAAAGCAGGTATCATTAGATTGTGTTGCTCAGGTACTTGTCAAGCCAGATCCCACAGGGAGGTGATTTTTATCCATAAATATTACTTAGTTATGAAAAAGGAAGTGTGTAATCTTTTCTGGTAGTAAGATGAGCTGTGAAAGAGAGTCTGATGTAGACACAGTGTTTAGAGAGCAATATGAGATATCTAGTAAACAGGAGTAATATGGACAGTGTATGCTTCTGTATAATTATAAGCCATATGCCAAGATTCTGTCATGGTTCTTTAAAAGCTGAATTTTGAACACTGCTATTCTTAAATTAACAAAAAGCAGGAAATAATGTTGTTTCATTTAACTTTTAAATTTCTTCTTTATTTTCATTTTAATCTTCCTTTCTCATTGGTATGTATATCAAAATATATTGCAACTTCTATTTGCAAAGGAACCACAATGAAGAAATATTTCATGATTGAAGGACAAAGCAAAATTAGCAAGTGCTGTTCTGAACCAAGTCTGAGAAGGGAAAAAGCTTTTAGTAATCTTAGCTTTTACTGAAAATCCATCGTTCTCCAAGAACATTTCACTTCTATGTTCAATTATTTTGTTTAAATCAAGTTGCTGATACTTCACAGATAACAGATTCTTGCTTTTCTGTAGCTGTGGTACGTTGTCAAGCCAGGGAGAGAGTAGAAAAAAAAGTTGAAGTGCTGCTCAATGGTGTTGTTCCTGGTGCAACCACCACAAGAAATTCTGAAAAGGTCAATGGAAATAAACCATCCAACATCCAAGAAGTTGCTCAAGACACTGATGGTAAGAATAAATAGCTTAGATATCATGTTATTTTAATAGCACTACACATATGGTAAATATTTCACTTAATATAGAAATCCTAGGCCAGCAGTTGTGGATTCTTTTTTTTTTTTTTTTCTCTCAGTCCATATTTCTGTCAATATTTCAAATACAAGGCACTCATACAACAGTATTTAGATGGAGTTGGAGGCATATTTGAACCTTTCTTTTTTTTGCAGCTGTCTTTGATGGGAGTCTTGCACACATACCATCTCTTCTTGAAAAGCAATAGCCTTCACAATATCTAAAGCCAGCAAAAATATGTTGGTGTAAGCATTGCAAAGCACTATTTATCTGCAGGCTGTCCCTATTTGTAAGATGTATTCCCACCAGCAGGCCAATATCTTCAGCAAAATGGATGGAAGAAAGAGGCCCTGTTCGAAAGAATCATTAAAGCTTTATAAAAAGATACCTTCCACTTACTGTTAATCAGCTGAGGACACAGTGAAAATCGATTTCTTCAGAGATATGCCAGCTTCTCATATCATACCTCTTTTTGAAAGAGGATGGTATGAAGTATAAGCATACTACAAAGAAAAGAATGCTAGCTACTGCTGCATTCCTGTTATTTCTGTTCATATGTGTGTATTAAATTATATTTACAATGACAAGTTATGCATCGTAACATGATATTTTCAATAATTATTGCACCTTTCAGTCTTAACCTACATATGCTTCTTGGTTCAGAGCAATCCTGCTTATTTTATGAAAAATTTTGTTTCAGAATTATGGTGTGTGATATGAGACATTCTAAATAGAATTTAACATAGCTGTCAATGAAGGGAAGGGAGTTCACCCCATTCCATCTTTCTCGAGAGTATAATGCACTGTAAGGTGCATTTCCAAAATAGTGGCCTCTGAATTGACAAGAATAACATATATTCAAGAAGTTGAGACAACATTTTGAAAGGCTTGCAGATTCATGATGTGTAGTGCTTGTTTTATTAATGGGACCAATATTTCATGTTTATAACACTGGCTTCTGCACATACTGCAAGACGTTGATTTGGGACATCACTGCATCTTTTCAAGCAAGTAGTCTGGTAATAAAATGCTTGACAACATAGGCTGTAAGATCATTTATAACTGATGATTTTCAATGATGTTTTTAAGTCATTATTGCTATATGAATGTAATGCCTAATAGGAATTGGATTTAAGTAGTTATGTGAGTTTTCTGCAGTCTGCCAGTAGTAAGGTAAGCAAAAGGGTAAACCCCTAAGATAACAGGCAAAAAATATATATATTTATATATTGTCTTTTCTGAAAGAGTGATTTATCAAGGTTTACATGTAGTAAACAGTTTTTATATCCAGATTTAAATGATGATAATTTCTGGCAGATCAGATTTAATCAGCTATTACTGCAGTTCAGTATTCAAATTGTCTGGGCAGTTCTTGGGAAGTGAAAAATCTTCAATATACCTTATGTTAAAAGAATTAAATTTCACCCATTCCAGAAGATATCATTTGAAATAGAAAATAATTTCTTCAGAAAGACAGGACAATCTGAACATTGTGAAGTTAAAATTACTTGATTTGCTGTTTGAAAGTCAGCAGTGTTGCAGAGATCAAGCAATATAAGGTCAATATTTTAAATTTCAATTGTATTAAATACATGTATTTATATGTATTTTAACTTTTTTTAAATACACCTGTAATGTTATTATTTTCAGTAAGCCTTATTTAAGTTCATTCATACAAGTGCAAAAGTTCTTCTTTTAACTCTAATAAAGTAGCTTCTCTTGCCTACTCCAAACATTCAGTGAAAAATACAGCTCCATTTTCCATAGCATTGTAAAAAAAAAAAAAAAAAAATAGCATCAAACATTTACAAGATGTCAGTTATAGAAATTTTACTGAAAGTCACATGTTTCTAAGCAACCAAACTTCAATATGCTGAGAGCATATGGAATATACAGTGAGAGTATCTTCTGAGGAAATACACCTACTTAAGTTTATTACATGAGCTAGCCAATCAGAGCTTGAGTGTTTACAATTAACTTCCCTGATGTTTATTAATTCATTGTACTCATAGATTAATCTTTGTTCCTTGGTCCTGGGTTATTTCTGGGAAATTTTCTTGTGAGTTAGTTTCTGGTGAACAGTATTGTCCAGGCTCCTGAGGGTAGCATAGGTGTGAGTTTTTTGTGTTACTGAAAGTTTTGCAGCTATACTGACCAGGAAACAGATGAACAGCTTACTTGCATCTAGTGGTCAAATATATTTTATGGAGAGTACTCTTTGTTCCACCATCTGAAAAACAGAAATTACCTACCTATCTATCTATCTATCTATCTATCTATCTATCTATCTAGGTATTCTCTACAGTTTTATGACAATTATCTATTATCTATCATGAAAAACCTCCCGAAGTACTGAATCTCATTTAGGATTTACAAAAATCCTTTATTTTCTTCACTTTCACTAAACCAGCTCTTTGAGATGGAGGAAGATCACCTTCCAGCATATTAAAAACTGTTCTCCACTGTAGCAAGATTGCATGTTAGCTAGTGTTACAGATTCCAGTAAATGCCATTCTGATGTGACAGGTCTGGATCAAGAAGCTCACCTGAAATCATTTCAACAAAATTTGCTATTATCAAATAAATCTATCAGTAGAAGGTAGAAAAATACCAGTATAAGTGGAGAGAAAATACCCTCATAGACTTATCTATCATCTAGACTGTTTTTAGTATAATTGCTGATAACATGTGGGAAGTGAATTCGGAAAGCAATATGAAGAAAATAATAATAGTGAAAATGGCTTTATATATAACTTAAGCCATCTCTCTATCATCAGAATCATTGTGAAATTATTTCTGAAATGGTGTTACAGGATGAAGGAATTATATAAATGAGTTTTAGGAATGAGATTATACACTTCTTTCTTTACCTTGTAAGAAATATAGGAAAGAAAGACAAAATGTTTGTTCTGGATTAGTAGATTGGAGAAAGCTGTTAGTAAAAACAAAATGAAAAGGTCAATGAGAAGGTGAACCACCACGTGACAGGGAGAGTTATGGATTACCTTGTTGCTAAAGATGACAACTCCTTCTGGAAAACAGGGAACTAATTGAAGTCAAGGAACAGATTAGTGGACTAGAAATGGAATCATAGTTATTTTATGAACTATGTAATTTTTGTTTATTTACTTATGTGTGAAACAGATGAGATTTACGCTTTTTTTTTTCTTTCTGAAGTAGAAGTACTGGGTCACTGTATGGGAACTATTAGGTCAGAGTCTGAACCAGTGATTGAGCATCTGGTGAAGGGGCATAACCAACCCTGGGAGCACAGGCGCATGCAATTCACCTGTGCAACTGAAAAGGGTTGACCTTGGCTCTCCTCTGGAAGTTTCTAGTGATTCCTGAACCTTTGAAAGGGGTGAGCTACTTCTTTGTTACTGGACTGTGGCTAATATCTTTTTTGGATGATCCGAAGCTGGTTAAGCATGTCTACTGCCTCCTATCCTTACAGACACCAACTTAAATTTCAAAGGATCAGTGTGAGTTGTTAATATGTAGAATATAGTACTATGTGAGGTTTCTTGAGTGAAAATGTAATACCTGGAGGAAATAAAAATTGTAGTGAGTGCTTGCAGTTTTAATCGAAGTATCTAAGTGATCAAGCAGTCCCTTCCAGAAAATTACCATTTGATTGTAAAGCAAGAAATATTAAATGCATATTTGTGTTTACAAATGTTAGATTTTCTAAATGTTTCTTATACATCAGAAGCAATGAAAACTAACTAAAATAATACACAGGTATTTAAAAAAAAAAAAAAAAAAAGCATGTTTTCTCTCACACAAGAAACACCTCATTGTTTAGTATAGTTTGAAAAGCAACAAACAGCTCTGATTAAAATGAACTTGTAAACTACAATCAAGCAACTTCAAACTTTTTTAATGAAATGTTCACATCTTTGAATTTTAAGAATGGGAATCATCATGCAAATTAAAATTACTTTCTAACAATAAGGTAAATTCATACTCAGTTAAAATATTCAATGTTTGCAGCAACCAGACCAATTATAAAATATTCTGAAGATACTCATTCATCCTCACAGAAGTGCAAAAACAATAACTCTAATATGAAATGAGAAATAATTCAATTCTTCCTGGTGTTACTTTTTTTTTTTTTTTTTTTAAACTCATGTATACCCAGGAAAAAGAGGGGGAGGGAAAACAAACAAGCTGAGTGTCTAATCTGCCCTAACAAATCTCTGAAGCAAAAATATGAGGGTAATACCTCCTATGTTATTATGTAGGCCCATGATGTCAGAGGCAATCATTTGATTCAGTCTGAACCTTTATCCCTCACCCTTTTAATTTCCTTCTGTCTCATGGGGGTTGCTTAGGATGCTTGTTTGCCTTGTAATGGTTTTTTTTTTTTTTTAACAAGTCTGCTGCAGGTTAACCATTATTTGCAAAGAGCTCAGGTAGCTGATATCTCCTTTAGATATCCACAAAAGACTGTAGCCTCACAGCACAATGCCTTTATATAATCAGAAACTGCATTGTAGAATGAACTGTCTCCAGTGAAGTCAAACACTTGCTCACTTTCTCAGGAATGATAGGGAGTTATGAAAAGCTTCTCTAATGACATGGTGAAAATCTATTCCAGGTCAGAAATATCCTGTGAGCCTTTCATGAAATTTTTTACAAATATTAGGGGCATCAATGCCTTGGGAACTGAAATGTAAGTTCAGTTACTAAGGTTCTTATTAAATGAGCATACTAGGCTTTTTATTTTTGGAAATCAGAAATATATCTATTAGTTTTACATTGAATCATAATAGCAGTGAGGATTCAGATTCCAGAGGGGATTCAGATTTTTCCGGATTATATGTTCAGTGTAAAATTTTTGTTTTCCACGCTACCATTCTTAAGAGTCAGAAAATAAAAAACAAGCAGTCTATTTCACTTCCTCTTCTTAGAGGTTAATTTTAAAAAATCCCCAACACTGATTCTTGCATACCTAGCACTTGTAAGTTACAAGCAAATCATGAAAGTATATAGTTCAAAATTCTACTGGTTTTCAAACATATCTACTTCAGTAATTCTAATAGAGCTGCAAATGTTGCCTAATACACACTACCTTTTGGAAATCTCTATTTATAAAAAGCAAAACAATTAAAAATTGAGATTAATTGCCTTTCAAAAAAAGACATTTATAGTACTTTAAGGCATTAATCTTGGAATAATTACTCAAAACCATATTCTTACTCTTTTCTTTGTTTGCTTTTGGATTTTTAAAATGTATTTTTTTACTGAAATGATATATAATATCTTTTGTGATAGATGAGGAAGTAATTTCCATAATCAGCTTGTATATAAATAGCATGTTACATTTTCCAGGTATTTGAATTAGCAGTGAGTCACAGTTTTTTGTTTTTTGTTTTTCTTTTGCCTATAGTTGCTGCATGTTTGTTTAGGCAGCATTTGTATTATGGAATTCTCTCAAATGAAATGTAACTCATTCACAGGGGCTTCTGAGAGTATGATAATATGGTAGCTTTCAGAGTTTGCAGCTGATGAAAATCTAATTGCATTTTTTGTGTTTTAAACAGCCTAAATCTAAACTAGATCTGTGCTGTTTCAAAATTTTCAAATATTGAAACTATAAATTCATAATTTTTTCTTAAGATGTTGTAAATATTAAAATACTTTAAATGCTTGACATGGACGTATAACAGATGATAAACAAACTGGAGCAGAAAAAATAGAAATACTTAATTACACATGACTAAAAGGTGCTATGCATAAATATCTTTGAATGCTAAAACCATCATGCAGTTCACATTTTCTTCCTACTATTTAAAGTATGAAGTATACTTTCTCCTGAGCTATACTGTGCGATAAGTGCTGAAAGATCCATCTACTCAACAGCTACAATTTTCCAACTGTAGGATGCTCCAAATTGTCATCTTTTCTCTCCCATAAAAATTAATTTTTATGTCAAAATCTTTGTGTTTTGACATTTGTCTAGCATGACTACTATAAGCCTTGGGCTGTGCTGAAATTTGAATGCATGGTATAAACATATTTTTCAAAAAGATAAACAACAAATGGAACAATATAGGATGATCCCAGGAATATTATAAACTGTAAGAAAAACATTAATATTTATTTCCATCATAACAAGAACTTTTATTGCTATAAAGTACTCTTGTAACAGATGGATTCATACAGGGGAATCCTGTATATTCAGTACTCAGTACGTATGCACTGTGGCCGCTAATCCTTTATGTTGTTAGTAATTCGCTTACATCTGTGAAACTTTAAGATCAAGCAGAAAGTCTTAGAATCATAGAATCACAGAATGCAGGGTTGTGGGGACCTCAAAGCCCACCCATCCCAATCCCTGCTGTGGGCAGGGCTGCCCCCCACCAGCTCAGGCTGCGCAGGGCCCCATCCAACCTGGCTTTGAGTGCTTCTGGTGATGGGGCACCACAGCTTCTCTGGACATGTATGCCAGGGCCTCACCACCTACTGAGCATGAAATTCCTCCTAGCATCTAACCTAAGTCTCCTCTCTTGTTTGTTTGAAGACTTTCTGCCTTGTCTTATCACTATCTGCCTGTATAAAAGTCAGTCTCTCTTTGTGTTTATAAGCTCCCCTCAAGTACTGGAAGGCTGCAATGAGTTTTTCCTGGAGCCTTCTCTTCTCCACACTGAATCTCATTTGGTTCAAATGGTCCACTTTTCAAGCCTGCTTAAGTGCTGTGATCAGCTTGGTGTTATCAGCAGACTTGCTGGGGATACACTCAATACCTCTGTGTCATTGATAAAAATGTTGAAGAACACTTGCCCCAGGACAGGCCCCTGTGGGACAGCACTTGTGACGGCCTCCACCTGAACAAAGAGCCACTGACTACAATCCTCTGGCTGTGTCCGTACAACCAACTCTTTATCCCCTAAGTAGTTCACTCTTCAAATCCATCTCTGTCCAATTCAGAGAGAAGAATGTGATGTACAACAATATCAAAGGCCTTACACAAGTCCAGGTAGGTGAAATCCATTGTCCTTCCTTTGTCCACCAATGCCATCTCTCCATTGTAGACCACCAGATTTGTTAGGCGCAATCTGCCCTAGTGAAGCTGCACTGGTTATCTCAGATCACCTTCTCGTCTCACATGTACACTAACATCGTTCAGGAGGATCTACTCCATGGTCTTTCCAGACATGGACATGAGACTCTCTGGCCTGTAGTTTCTTGAGTCTTCCTTTATTTCTTTCTTGAAGATGGGAGTCGTTTTCCTTTTTCCAACCTGTGGAGGCTTCTCCTTACTGCCATGACTTTTCAAATTTGATGGAAAGTGGCTCGGCAACCACATCAGCCAGTTACTTTAGAACACTGGGGTGCTTGTCGTTGGCATTTTAGAATTTCAAATTGGAAGGCCTTGAGAATCAACTTTGGAGCTGACTGCAAGCCATCCTATACAGCAATCTGTAAGCAAGAGTTTTGCTCAGCCTATTGTATTAAGCTGTGTACATTCAAAATAGGCCCTGAAATATGTAGTCAAAATAAAATGGAATATTCTGTAAGATGTAATGATAGTGTTAAAAGATTTTTATCTTTAGAATATGTACAACTTTTAAATAGATTAGAAATTTGAGGTTCTTTTTGCCATAGTGATGTTTCCTTCTGTGCTCAAATTAGTGTTCTAAACTAAATATCAGTTTTCTTTATTGCATCTGAAAGAGGTGTTTGATTAAAGAAGCTTAGTTGTTTATTATTATGTATAACTATTTTTCATAGCTGGTACAATACAAATAAGAGTAGAGAACAAGTAGGGAATAACAGTAGAGGCTGAAAGTGGCATCTTTTCTGTTTTTCTGTACCATGTTTGTCAGATTGGCTGCCATCAGTGACACAGACGTTCTTATTGAGAATTTTTTTTTTGAGATTGTCTCAATGACATTGCTTGAAAATAGTACCAAATCCGTGTGATTTATATCTGCCTGGTAAAATAGAAGTACCTCAATGTAATACCAAAGTGGTAGCCAGGATGATGTTGCTTTCATTGTTTACTTCTCTTAAGTTTTCCAGCTTCTCTTTTTCTGGATCCTATATAGCTTGCTATATGACATGGCAAAATTTTATTATGCAGTCAGAAGCACATCAGTCAGGTTCTGAGTAATTACTAGTTTCACTTATTTGTCATTTTTAATAACAAAAGGCCAAGTTGTAACTATAATCTGTCCAACTGTGTGAAGTTTGAGTGCACACAGATTGATCGTTTTCCCTTGTATCATTTAGGTTTCTCTGCAGCAGTGGAATTTCAGTATGAATTACAGTATCAATCAAATGAAATTAAATCTCAGCTTGAACCTTTAGTTGGTATGCATCTGATTCAAAGGAAACAGGATACAGAATCTGGAATTATAACACTGATCTTTAATATAGTATTTGCACCTAACAAACCGATGCGGTAAGTCTCTGTTCCTTATAACTCATTGAACATGTAATAAAATCCTTATTTTGTTTTTACCTCCACGATCTGTTGTGTTAGATTTTCTTAGGTGCTGCTTCCGATTATGTTGTCTCTGGAACTGAGACTGGCAATATTTCTTTTCTGTATTTGCTGGATGGTTCTGTTGGGTTTCTGCCTTAGTGTATGTGCATTAATTTACTTCTGAGTATTGAAGTATTAAAAGCGTTATGAATTCCAGTGAAAATCAGTCTCTCTCAAATTCATGAAAAGCATGCAAGCAAAACAGCTTGTCAGATTTGAAAAAGGTTTCCTAGACAAGTATATGTAAATATTCTCTGATGGGATAGGATGACTGAATTTGAAAATGGGTTTCTACTGCTGATAGCAATGGTCTGCAGAAAAATATCATCCACTTCTACAGTTGTGATAGACCTCTTTAAAAAAATAAACAGTGAAAGAGAGAACCTTTTGGAGAGAAGGGGAAGATGCAACTTCCTTTGAAAGCAGTCAACAGGGGGAGACTGAAGAGATACTTCAATACCATACAGAGGCACAAGGTACATTCAGAGGCTCAGAAATACTAGGGACTGCAGAGTGTAATTGCTGCCATACATCAAGGGCTGTGAACAGAGAGAGCATTTTTATGAGTCAGAAGGGAACTGTATTCACAGTAGCCCAAAAAGTTATTGAAATAAACTAAGAGCAAACCTTTAAGGAACACTATCCATCTACCCCACACAGTGTCTTGTGTCAGAGAGAAGAAACCTTCCTGATTACTACTCTGTTCCTTTTTTTTTTTTTTTTTGCATTTGCTTCTTTCTCAGTTGTTGATTTGTTTGTTTGTTTATTTTGTATGTTAATTTGTTTTTATTTTTATCTTTTCGTATTTGAGAACTATTCTGCTTGATATAGAGGGCCAAAATATTGCAGTTAAATTATTTTTTTCTGTCATCATGATCTACAGAGTACGTAGATGTCAGTCAGATATATCTGATTTTAATATGAACTTCTAACAAACACATTCTGCTTCAAATCTCTTCTAACACTGCAGTAAGGAAAGAGTAACATGTAAAACAAATTGAGTTAAATTTATGTATCCAAGAGGAGCAAACAAATTTCTTGGCTATGCCCATTATTTTGTTTTCATATAATGTCTTTTCTTGTATTTTGCTGTAAATATCAAATGCTTCATATTTCCAGAATAAAATGTGACAAATACATAATACGCCATGTAAAATTAAGGACATGTTCCAATTTAAAGCCATCTGTATTTTTGTTTTTCTGCAGTATGAACCTGCACACTTAAAGGTTATTTTGGGCATAAATTTACTAAGTTGGTTTTATAATACTCTTCTTAATACTTAATAAATATTTTTATCTGCAATTTTAAGGAATGAAGGAACTTTAGTAGTACAGTGCACTGCAAGAGGTATCTGGAAGTTTCCCTTGCTGTTTATTGCTACAGAGCCAGAAGTGGATGATGTCATCAACATTGAAGCAATTGGCCTAAATAAGGAATCTGTTGTTGACTTCAAGCTTACAAGCCAAACGAGGTAAAAATAGATATGAATTAGTGTTTATGCAGTTTTCCGTAGGTTGAACTCACACTCAAAAACATTGGATAGAATAGACTGAGCAGCAGAAATGTAACTGAACTGCAGTCATTTCAGAAATATGTTATTACTATCAAGTGCTCTGTTGTATGTCTAACAAATGGGATCTTGAAGTTATTCTTAAGGAAACAAAAACGTTCTAAATGTTAGTCTACAGCCTTTCAGGAGAAAATTTATAGAATAATCCAGATGCTTATGTTTTGAATAAGATTTTGCCCGAAAATACTATTTGGTGTTATATCTTATACTTTGCTAAGGACCGTGTGTGATGATATTAATGGCTTAATGTTTGTTTTAATTTTTTTTCAAAGTACATGTACTTCACACGTTAGAAACAATCCTGTGCATTGTACTTTATTTTTTTTAAAACGTGTAATTCTTTTGAAAGTGTTCCTCTTTTATTGTGTAAGGATATGTGTATTTATCTATACTCAACTTATTCATTAAATAAAATAATTCTGTCAGATTCTTTGTTATTTTATTACTGATCTATGCATATTCTTTAAAATCCTCCAAAAATCTCTCTTAATGCAATTTTAAAATACTTTCAATTATCCTTCCAGCATTTTCTCAATATTTTTCTAATACTGTAGAAAACCCATAGTGTCATTTGTATGGACAAGGAAGTCAAGAAATGTGTGCTATTGATAGATAAATTTAAAAATAGTGTAAAGAATTAGATTACGGAATTTCTAAAGTTTCTTTTTGTTCTTTACCTTTTTCTTTTTTCTTTCATTTTACTGTATACTTAGAATGTGTACCAGATATACTGCTTTCATTGCAGATACATGCTTTTGAAACATCCCCAGCAATAAGTGCCTTTGGTTCTAACTGACTTTTTAAAGAGTGCATTTCCAAAAGCTGTGGATCTGAGATGGATTGTTGTTCCAGCTTTTAGATGTCTGTCAGTTTTGATAATTGCTAGGGACTCTGAAAAATGCTGCTATCACAGTGTTCAAGGTAACAGCTTAAACAGAATGGGCTGTTTCTGGAACAAAAATGAAGCAATTATTCTGGCAATACTGTAATCTCCTGGTAGGGGTTTGATAGTAGTGAAGAGACCTAATGTTCTCCAAAAAATCCCGAGTTGTTGTAGTTATACAAAGAAGGAGCTATAATGGAACACAAATTCTCTTCTTCCCTTAAACAAATTCCAGTTTTATTGTACACAGCATGTATTACCCCCAGTATGTTTCAAACACAGAATATAAAGCTTGCATGTAGTGAAAATGTTCCATGCTGTAAACAGTGCCAACAACTGCTTTGTGAGATTTATACTGCTTTATCTTTGTGTTGCTAATGGCATTTTTGGTGGAGATCTTATTATAGAAATAGAACAGTAAGCCAACGAAAACGTAGCATACAGGATCTGCAGTTTAAAAGCTATTACACAGGAAACCTATATGTTGCAGATTAATTTGATGGTTGAATAACTCAAGTGACTCAGATTAACAATTAGATCGTGAAATATTAAAAATATAGATTAAAAATTTCAGTCAGGATATAAAATGCCCTTCTACAGACGTTCCCAGAGGAAAAAAAACATGATCACATCTTCACATATTTTTCATAATGAAAGAGTAAGTAGGTCAGTTCCATAAAGAATCCATTCCAGTATTAAAAATGTGTTTGTCCTGTCCAGCCCTGCCCCAAAACAATGTATGTTCTGTCTTTACTTCTTTCGATAGGTAGTGCCTCATGGCATTATTTTTTCAAGAGTAAATTAGCAGAGAGAGAAATAGAGACAGATTTCTGAGTAACCTCCTAGAAAGGGAATATGCAGTTGTGTCTTTCTGCCCTCCTGCTACTTGCAGGACATCTTTTTGGGCCGGCAGATTGTGTAGTGATGCATCAAAGAATATTTGGAAACCTCAGACAAAATGAGGTTTAATATCTATAAGGACAGATTTGGATCTTGTATATAGCAAGTTGAAGGCTCCACAGAGCACTGTTGGTAACCACTGCAGAGCTATGAAGTCAACCTTTCTTCTTCTGTACAGCTACTGCAATTGAAATGCACGTTTCTCCTTTTAATTTCACTCCTCCCCAGCAAAAACCCTCAATTTGTGTGAAGTATTCCAGAGTAAATTAATGATTTTCCAGTTTACCCATAAGCACACTTGATGTAATTGCTTCAGGAATTATGACAGTTACAAATGAGAGGTAGTTTCTGGGCAGCTCGCAATGAAATACAGTGATGAATGCTGTGAGAGTCTCTGCAAATACATAATGCACTCTTTCCTTTCATACATGTAAAAGAGTGCTTGCCTGCTTCCAGTGAATCACAGTCCAATATCAGCTTGAGTAAATAATGGAAGACAATGAGAATGCAGCCACGCAGCTTTGTCATATGAAAAGCCTTAAAAATGCTTTTTAAATCTGTCTGCATATAGAAGTTGTCGTGTATGAGTAGTCCAGTACTTTACTTTCAGTTTTTTGAATTCAAAAGAGACATACAGAATAGTTTCTTTTAATGGCACTAAGACTGGTTCAACTCAAAAAGGCCGATTTCACTTCTTAAATAAGAAAACATTGTCCATTTTATAACTTTCATATACGACCACTTTTTGGTATTTGTCGTAAATGTGGGTTGAATTCATTACCAACTGAAATCATTGGCAACATTTCCACCAAAGTAATTGGCTTGGGTACAAAGCTCTGATGTTTTTTTTATCATTAACTTTTGGTTTGGTAACAAATGTATTATTGAATGCCAATATTTACGGAATAGCAGTATAAATCAAAAAGAATAGAAGAGGTATTTGTCCTGGATAGAAATTAAGTTGTTTGATATCTCACTCAAACTATTGGCCATTTATTTCTTTACTGCTCTCTGTAATTGAAACAAATGATAAAAATTCTGATATTGATGCTTTGCTTAAGAAAACTAGTGTTTCTTTATTTGGTCTACTGAAATAAATAGTTAATACATTTTAATGAATTATGTATTGGGATCAGAACTATTTTATTAATACAGAACACTTTCTTTTCATTTACTAATATGTATTCCAGTACAGAGGCTTTTACTAGATCGATGCGTATGCACAATATATTCACTGGGTTTTTTGTTGTTTTTTTTTTAAATAATATTAGTTTTCCATTTTTGTCAAGATATTTAATAATTCTCTTCTGTCCATCCTGTCCGCTTTTTCCTCACACACCGAGCCTTCTTTCATCAATTTATTTAATTATGTTGTGTTTCCCATAAAACAAATTTTACCCATCCAGTGATCCCAACATCTTTCCAATATGGTGTTTATCACAAACAAGAAACTTGTTACGTTATGGGAGGTTTTGAGATGGACTCAAACTATTGTTTCAGATAAACATTCTTAATCATACCACATTTGACAAAATAAAAAATTGTGATATCATGTTATGGTCTCCACAGAGTGATTATCTACAAAACTCAGTTTCACTAGGTTATAGAACTAGAGCTAGAATAAAGAGAGAACAAAAAGCAGGTGGACTGGAGAGATGAGAAAAGAAATTTAGGCTTTAAATTCACTACAGATGCAGGCTTAGTTATATTCAATTACATTTCACATCTTGAATGCTGCTCTGGATATTTTCCTGATTTCATCTATGCATGTTTCCTAGTGAACAGAATAATGTTCTGAGAAAGTATTCCTTCATCACACAAACTTAATATGATGGAAGAATAGTAAGCTACCCAATTTCCAACATTTTCTAACTGTGAAGAAAAGCATGACAATTTTCAGTTACAACTTAGATAATTATTTTTATTTTATTATAATCAGTGATTTGTTCCATTAGAATTTCCATAAGCCATAATTATGCATATTGCAGAAAAATGCATTCATTATATTTTCAGCACACTCCTTCTCCCTCAATAGTTTGCTCTGCATGCTAGAGGCTTGCATTCCTGCAACAGTCTCCTCATTACCAGGTCTGTAAAATTCGACCATTAACATAAAAATCGTATTAGAATCTTTTATTGTTGTATCTCCCACAAAATGGCAGCTGCAAAATACAGATGTTGACTGAGCTCCATTTTGAAGTCTCAGTGGAGCCTGGTGGAAAATATTAAAAATGATACACATGCAGCAGAGTATTTTACATATGTATAATAATCGTTCTTAACAGTACAATATCTTTCTTTTAAAACATTTAGCCAGGAGCCATATCTACCCATGTGACCTGGACTCTTCTAGCAGGAAAAGACAGTTCACCTATCTGCATATGTAGTTCCCCTGGGTAGAACAAGAATGAGATGGAGATCTTAACATTCTGTGAAGATGAAAATCTGAGCTCCTGCTTTGATCTTACTACATGTGCACAGCAAAAGTGGTGTTATACTTGGTAAAACATTCCCTGACAGTTATTTGTCACATGTTATTTATTTAAATGTTGAAAGTCCTTTGATTCTGAAATTGTCTTTCCCAAGCTATATAATAATAATTGGAGTTAAACCTTTTCTGATGTGCAGAGGTCAGGATGTAGAGTGGTCAATTATAGCAGAGTTGCTATTGGTAACATAACCAATTTTGTCAGCCTGAAGTAGCGGTTGGCAACCTTGCCCATGGCAAGGGGTTGGAGCTCGATGATCCTCCAACCTGAGCCATTCTATGACAATCTCATAATTTTTTTGCACTGCTAGTTTTTTTTTTGTTTTTGTTTTTTGTTGAAGAGGAGTCATCTGAAGCATACTAACTGTCAGTAGTAATTTCATAGATTTTGACAGCTGTGTATAGTTAATAAGTGTGAAGATTTTCCCTGTGAAATTTCTTGTGACATCCAACATATGTTATCTACAAATGACAGTAAGCTTATTTTTGATTAAGGATTGCTAGTAGCTCTTTGCAACATTTTCAAACTGCATTCTTCATTAAGCAGTTATGCACTGTACAGATTAAATTGTTATTTTATTATTTTATTGAAAAAACAGTTTGATCAATAGCACAACGGGTTTTTAAGTGTAGTTTGCAGTATGCAAACAATACAGATTTCTTCAGGAAAATCTACTGCTTCTTTAGTTTCAGAAAGAGAGACATTAATGTTGAAGTTATTTTGAGGCTGGACGTTCGGAAATATTACTTTTTTGAAAGAGTGGTCAGGCACTGGAATGGGCTGCCCAAGGAGGTGGTGGAGTCACCGACCCTGGAGGTGTTCAAGGAACGTTTGGACATTGTGTTGAGGAATATGGTTTAGTGAGAACTATTGGTGATAGGTGGATGGTTGGACTGGATGATCTTGTTGGTCTTTTCCAACCTTGGTGTTTCTGTGATTCTGTGATTCTTAACGAAAACCTATATTTTCCATTTTGCTGTATCTGAGTGTATTTTGCACATTCTTAGGTGAGATTTCTATAGCTTTATAAACTTTGTGGTTTTCTTTAATCGATGACTTAAGGTGTTATCCTTTACTAGCTTGCAAGTTTATAAATTGTCTAAATTGAGAACACTGAAGAACATAAACTGCTATTTAAGAATAATGTGACGTAAAGATTAACACAGTCATTAAGAACAGGTCTATTAAATACTACAATTTCCATGCTTCCTTTTGCTATGATTTCATTGTCCAATTATTATTTGAATTTAAATTAATATTCACCCTTGTTCATTATTTGAATAAGGGCAGAGTTCATATTGTCTCTTGGCAATATCAAGCTGTTAATGACAATAGTTATAGACCACAAAGGTGGTAGGACACATTTGCTTTCTCTGGTTTATATGGCCTCTGCCTTTGTATTTACTAATTCGTTAGTGCTTGATTTGTATGTGTTTTCAAAACTCTGCACATCATTAAGCTTTATCACATTTGTTAGTATCTCCCACCCTTGAGATAAACAAAAGCCTTCTTGAAAAAAATATAGAAAGCCTCATCGCTGTCCTTCATGACTGAGAAATGAGTGGCCAAATGTTAACTCCAGAGCAGTTTTACCTGAAGCAATAACCAAAGAGAAAAGGAGGAATTAATTTTTAATCACCTTAAGGCACATAATTATTAATTTTTAATTATACACGAAATACACTGACACTGGAAGTAGTAATGTCTGAAATTCAGGTGCCTTTCTGGTAACTTTATCTCCTGCTTTCTCTGCAGTGTAGAAAATGACAATGACAAGCAATATGCTGGCAAGCTAGCCAGGATGCCACATTATCTCCCTGATGTGAACATCAGCAAAAATACTGCTTATTTTTTTCTGAGAAGCCATCTTTGCATATATTTTTAACCTAAGGATTCATGATTTATTAGAACTACAGGCACTGTGAAAGGTTCCTGGTTCTGATCGCGCATGAATAAATTTTTCATTTTTAGTTCTTGAACAGTTAGCCATATCTTAACAGAATTCTTTTTGGCCCGTTGTACTTTATCTATGTACTTGCTAGATTTTCTATTTTCCTTATTGGATATAGCTCCCAGTCTGAGGGGCGTTTTACATCTAGTATGTGGCTTGACACTTATGTTTTAAACTGCTGTGTTTTGGGGAGAGGAGGGAAAGGGAATAAGATTTTACATGTGTATGTATGTATGTGTTCATGTCTGTATGTATGTGTGTGTATATGTATGCATTACATTACTCAGTATACAAAAAATACAACTGCATCTTTTATCTTCTGTCAATGCTGTAAAGAAACGTGCAGGTCTTTTAAAGTTTTTTGTATTAGTTTTTTCCATTTCTCTTTCTGAAAATTTACATCTGATGAATTTGATGCAGTAAGATTTTTTCTTTGACTTTGACAAAGATTCTGTTATAGACTGGTTTGGTACAGTTTCATATAAATTGTGTTTAGTGGGGGATATAATCTCTAACTGCTTACCAGAAAGCAGGTTGAATAAGATAGGAGATAAAATGCTGTTTTAAAATGTTACTAAACCTAGACAGCAGAGCAGTTTCTGTTGGAAATGAAGGCTTGTGTTCAGGTTCCTGTTTCCACAGCCAGAGTTTGAATAGTCATCTCAGGGATGCTTAATGGGTGCTTTACTTTGCTGATCAGTCTAATAGGCATAATTTCTTTTTCATTCTGAGCTGCCTTTTGTGAGTTGTAGGCATGCTCTAAACATTCTCACCTGAATAGACCTTATGAGAAATACAGATGCAAAGACTCAAGGCTTAGATGGCATATAGATGAAAATTTACTGCTCATAGCCTGATGCTATCAGCTGAACTGCATGACACAAAAATAGCTTGACAGTGTAGGCTCGATGTCAGAAGACTTGCAGTGTACTTTCAGAAATGCAGTAACTTTGACCAGGTTGATGTCACCAAGAAGGAAAGTCAGGCTTTGAAGCCCAGTAGCACAGTTAAATGTCAGTCAGTGTTCTGATGGGGCAGAAGCTTTTTGGTTTCTATTGTCTGCATTGTTCTATGCAGCTGCACTGTTTGCTTCTACAAACATAGTGTGACCTTTATTTCATGAGAGCATTTTTGAATTCAAGAAAACCTTTCGTGAGAAAACATGCAGAAGGAAAGCTATTTTTATACTACGTGACCCGATGTGCCATGGAGTGAATACCACTTGCCCTAGAAATGTGGGACAATTCAATAGAAATTTGAGTTGTCATAAAATATTAAATTTCATCTGGTTGTGAATATTTTATTTGAAAAAGAGTGCTACTTCTGGTGCAACAATCCACGAATAAACAGATTTGAACAGATATATTTTTTTTCTCAATATATATATATTTATTTCTTTTTGAGATGTTAGAATCATGGTACTTGCCCCTCTGCACTGTGGTAGGTTGTTGTGGTCATACACATCGTACACATTTTTTGACCATGCCATTGTATTTCTAATTTCTTTTGTCTGTCTTGAGTAGAGCTGCCTTCAGCATCACATGTAAGAACTAAAAGGAGAATATATTTTTTTTCATAAGGAAAATGCCCATGTTCCAAAAAACAGTAATAGGATTGACATTGGTGTTGGCCAAAGATTGTTTTGCAGTCTTCAGCCACTGTCTTTGCCAGGAATAAGATGTCTTCTTTTAGTGCAGTGGTACTGTCATGAAGCTAGCAATTTAATGAGATCTGCAGTACTTTAACTGTAGACAAATTGTATTAAGATACTGCAAAATGCACACTGACCTCCTTTGTTTTTCTGTAGGTACCCTGAATCATTCACAGCATACTTCCTGGCAGGCAGTGATCCTGACTTCGTTGTACTGCCACAAGCTGGAGAACTTCTTCCAGTGGGCACTGTTGGAACTCATATAACAGTGGGATTCAAGCCAAGAATGTACGGCAAGAAGCATAAAGCAATACTTGTAATTCAGGTAAATTTTCCTAAATACATTACACAAATGCCTGTCTGGAAAGGAGGGAAAAAAATCCTATACAAAGAAGTAATACTAAAACACTTGGATGCGCACTATGATTAGAATCATAGAATCCTTAGAGTTGGAAGGAACCTTTAAAGATCACTTAGTCCAGCTCCCCTGCAGTGAACAGGGACATGTACAGCTACATCAGGTTGCTCAGAGCCTGATTCAGCCTCACTCTGAAAGTCTCCAGAAATAGGGCATCCACTACATCTCTGGACAGCCTGTGCCAGTGTCTCACCACCCTCACTGCAAAAGACTTTTTCCTTATTATCTTGCTGCTTTTCACTATGGATAAGAATGAAAAAAATGGACAAAATTAACTCCTGACAAGCTGGAAAACCTTAGTATATTTTGATTTTAATCTTTTTGTTATCATTTTTCCTCTGGAGACAGATATTTATCTTGATACCTGTGCCATAACTACAAACGCAACATGATAAAATGTCTTTTAACAGAGAAATAATAATGTAATCATTTTAAGAATTAGTGAAGATATGTGAGTAATCAAGTATTTGCAACCTAAGTTAATGATGTTGCTAGTATTATGGCATATACAATCAAAGGCAATAGAAGATAGATACTAAACTCTAGACAGCAGAATTTCAGAGTAAGAAGCCATGAATCTCTTTTTGAAAACAAGCTTCAAAATAAACAAAACAATTTTTTGGCCAAGCTGCTTCTGAAGGTCAGGAAACATCACGCGACAATTATTTCCTCAGTAGCAGCAATGTTCTTATTACTGCAGAAATGAATTTTTAAGTCTTTCTTTAAAAGGAAGCAGTTTGTTCAAGGTGTACCATAGCAGCAAACACATGATGAATGATGCCCTGCACTTTAAATGTACTTGCTACGTGCTGGCGATGTTTTAATGCTACTGTATTGGAAGTGAAACTGCAATATTGATTTAAAAAATAAGACTGTAAAAACAAAGTTGATAAAAAGGTGCATATCAAATGTCTGCAATGTTTTATCTGAGTGACAACTTGTGCAACAGGAATAAGAAATTCAAATACTAGGAAAACAAATCCCTCATACTTGTTTTCTTTTACCTGATAAGGCATTTGATTAATTCATTCTTTTGTCATAAAAAGCAGTGATGTTTACCTCTCTTGCATTCAAAACTGAAAATAACTCACCAAGTGCATTCTGTGTTCTTTTTAACTTAGATAATACCAAGTGACACTTCTGTAGAGCTTGGAAATTTCTACTGTAGATCTGGAATACAGCCATTTAATGTTTGTCTTTGGCTTAGCTTCTGTCAGTAACAGAATGTAAACATGACAAATATATCTGGAATGGGAAAAGCATCAAGGTCAAAGATTATCAATAGCTTTGTAAGAACTCACTAACTTCCTTTTAGGAATTTATAAGTACAGATGGGGTTTGAGTAATTGGATTTTTAATTTATGTCTACTCACCCCTGAGTTATGATCTAGGTAGATGGCTTTTTACATCTCCACCTGTGGAATAATGCATGGGTGTAGGAATTTGCTTATATATATTACTCCTTAGGTCACACCTTGTCTAGCCTACTCCGGTATGTTCAAAGGTATATAAATGACTCTTAATACCTGTAATAGCAAGTATTTTTGGTTCAGTGTCACACATCACAGTATATCAGAGTATTTCTAAAGGTTTTACTCTAGTTAAATGATTTCATGTTTTGACAAGGATTATGTTCTCTTTGCTTGTCATGATGATGCTTCTGTATACACTGAGCTTCCCCCTTTCCTTTCCACAAAACCTTTCGCTCATGTAGTTCTAATAAAAGCTAAAATTTTTAAAACAACAAAGCCGAGGGAGACAGATTTAGTTAGATGGCAGAAAGATTATTAAATCACTCTTATTTGGGGAATAATAATGAAGGTGGTGGACTATTGTTAAAGTTGGACCTTGCACTGAAGGATTTCTCTTGCAGGTATTCTTTTCAGCCACTCTACTGGCTGAGCCTTTTGGCTATTTTTCAAAGCAGTGAAGAAGTTTCATTTCTTTTACAATATTGCCTCTCTTCTGGCACTGCTGTAGTAAAGGACTACAGCGCTCTCTCTGTAAAATACCCTTTGAATTTCAGGGGATGAAGTTCACAGTCCTAATACTAATGTATTTTTATTATTAAATTCTATGAATAATGAGTAGCAGAACTGCTATTTTTGTGTGCTTCAATGAGCAGTGATAATTAGGCTGTAAAGCAGCACAGATGACAGTGTAAGTTCTTTATCTGTTTTATATCAGTCATTACAATTGTGTTGTAAAGAAAAACAGGAAGTTGGATTAATGGAGAAAGATCCTGCAGTCATCTTTTCTTCATTTGCTGGAAACATTAAATCCAAACATTGTACATGCAAATGTTTTGTTTTAGTTGCCCTGCTGAGAACCAAGTACTGAGGTGACGATTAGTGTTAAGAGACTACAATGTGTCTTTACCAGAATTCTGTGTGTATATTTTATTAACTGAATGTAAATCTATAACTGAAATAATTTATCCTCACTTTTATCTTCTATACACAAATGAGTCACTTCTTGGGGTATTTAGGGGACTCTTTCAGACCTCAGTCTTTGTGAACACGTACAGTAGGTTTTATTAATGGCAGAAAACATTAATTACTTTGCTGAAGCAATTCAATGTTTTTAGCCATCATTAAATCTGAAATTTTTTTTATCAACTACATATCAAAACAATTAAAGTTAGACAATTATTTGCATAATTGTTAACAATCTCAATTTTGTAAAAGGGCCCTGGAATATAATTTTTAAAATTCCCGAAGATCAAAGAATGAAATTAGAGAAATATAACAAAAAGCCCATAAAGAAAATGGTCGTGTTTGTTATGATAGCTGTGAAAGAGTATATTGTAATCTTATTGGGCTTCAAGTAAGGAACAGTGATGCACTGCATTAAATGTATTATTCCATAATCAAACTTCAGCATTTATACCAGCTTTCATAACCAAAGCAGTTCTAATGGAAGAAAAATGCATTTTCACTAATTATAAATGAGTGAAAAGGTAGGCTTTTTAGCTAAGCTGTAATTTGCTGTGAAGAAAAGAACCCCCCCAGTCAGACTAAGGTCTCCAGGCTGGGTTCTGATGTGCTGGTAAAGCTGACTCAAAAAGCAGCATGGCCAAGGAGCAGCAAGAGGCAGTGAGAGCAGGGAACACCATGCAGGCTTCCTGCAGCAGGAACCATTGCCAGCAGACAGCAAAGAGGAGGCTGGCAAGTCCTAGGGAAAGGCTGTACTCGGGTTGGCTTACAGTTAATTTGCTTGCAGTGTGCTGAATCCAGCTAGGGACCCGAGCAATTGCGTTGTAATTCATGGATGAGATTTCAGAGGTGTTCTAAAGCAGAAGGCAAACAAAATAAGTCTTAGAAGATAAAACAGATGTCAGAGTAAACCAGATTGTAGGTAACATTATCAAGTCCTCCAGAAGTCAGGCTTGTGCACCTTTATTACTGAATAATCATCGACTTAGCCTATCGAAGATAGCGTATCAAAACCATTTGTCATGCTGCTCTCAAAATAAATGATGCAGTGTACAATCCACAGTGCCCGTCTGTGGCTTCTCTAAGCATGTGTATTCCACCTTGCAAATAGCAACAGAAAATGACACCGTTACATAAGCAGTGGCCTGATGAAAAAACAAGGCATGTTGTTCCTGGTACCTTTGTTGATTACCCCAGTTCCACGTTGTTCTGAACTGTGTGTGTTAAACTGAGTGAGCAAGGAAACATGTAACAAAGTTAGTAACGTAATTGAAATAGTTTTGCATTAAAGAAGGCATCACCTGCGTTGCTGGATTGATACTGAACTGAGTGCTAAGATTACAGATATCCAGAAAGTTCATTACAGGCAGTGAGCGTAGCACTAGCGTCACTGGATTTTGAGTGCAGAAGTAATACACAACGGTTTTGATTAACAGGCATAAAAATTAGTTACCTTGCTTATTGTGACTGTAATTATCATAATGTCAGAATGTGAAACCAGTGTAGAAACCACTGATGTATAAGGGTGTTGAAAACATAGCCAGTAATGAAGGAATATTTTGTATTGATGACATTACATCTAAACAAAACTATGAAACACTGAATACTTGAACTGCAGGTGTTAATTAAGCCACCTTTAATTCTATCTGGAAATCTCTCTTTAGGAAAATTACTGTTGAGTCATCATTCTAAATAAAAATGGGAGAGTAAGACTGTTAAGTATAGACTTCAATGTGTGATATCTGTTAAAGGAGAACAAGTGTTCACAAGCAACCAGAGTTTGATCACTCTCTGTCTCTTTGATACTTTGAAATAAATTGTGACCATTTCGCAATATGGCTCAGTACTCTGGTTTTAATATATCCCACACTGTGTGGGAGGAACAGCTTACAAAAAAAAAGTAAATGACTACATAAGTAAATATTTTATTTGTTTTGCAGTTAATTTTAACATTAATGGACATTAGTGGACATTAATAAAAATGATGAACTGGACTCCTGGGTTACACAGCTATTACAGGCCTCCAACTTGAATTCATGCCACTGATAACTGTATTCTACCAACATTTAACTCACTCCTAGATTGATTTATCTGGAAATTAATTTGTATGTAAACAAGTATCACTGTCAGCCTATGGTGACAGTGGTCCATGTTCTGCGAATTAATCCTATGAATCATGAGCCAACTGTAAGAATGGGCTAAATACCTAAAAAATGCACTTTTATATAAATTTGTTGGTGACTGCTAACAGTATTTGCTGAATAAATTATTTCATATAATGGAATCATGTAACAGTTTAGTCTGGAAGGGACCTCAAAACTCACCCAGCCCCAACCCCTGCTGTGGGCAGGGCTTCCCCCCCCCAGCTTAGGCTGCCCAGGGCTCCATCCAACCTGGCCTTGAGGCTTGCACTTGTCCCAGTTTTCGTATTGGTTAAAATAATCATTGTAGTTAAATTGTACAACCTTAACCTGAAAGAAAATACACATGATTTAAGGATAATTTGAAAACCTAGTATTTTGCTCTTGGAAATTAAATATTCTAGTTAAACAGATATTTGTGGATATTTAAGATCTGAAAATTACTGAATTCTATGTGGTCTTGTAGCACTAACCTAGTTGGCAGTTACATTAACCATCTTCTGTTTGTTTTCCCGTTAGCAGAATAGACTAAACTACAAGAATAGGCTTTCCTTTCAGCAAATTAGTATATAAAAGCTTATTTCTTCCACAAAGACTGTTTCTAACTGTCTTGGATGATAGCAAATGATTTACAATAGATGGAATATGATGTTATAGATGTTGTCCTTTTTTTGATTTTTGTTTTGTTTTGTTTTTACTCTTCTATCTTGATGGCTCCTGTCTAAAGGATTATGTGATAATGCCCATGACGTCTTCCCTATTGAGCCCAATGAATTTTCATTACAGAAGGTTCCGTCTCTTCTGCCACACAACCACAACCGACATGGATTACACAAAGCACTTGAATAATCAGCTTTTTCACAGAGTAAGGGTTTTCTCAATTATTGATGATAAGTGAAATTGAAGAGTGATATAGCCCACCACTTTCACTTAAATCCTACTTCAAACAATTAAGAACATTATAGAAAGTAAAGTTACAGTACGTGTGGACTTCAAGTAAGTCCAAACTCAGTTTAACTCATTTGCTGTAAAAACTGACCTTGAATCATGGAATCATAGAATTGCTCAGGTTGCAAAAGACCTTAAAGATCATTGAGTGCAACCACAACCTGACCATACTGCCCTAACTCTAACAACCCTCTGCTAAATAGTGTCCCTGAGCAGCGATCACCAAATCATGTGCAATGTGTATATGACCCTGAGGTTAGGTTTTCTTTAAACTAAATTGTTAATCTGACATACTAAGTAAGGATAAACTATTTCATCTTCTACTGGAGTAAGACAATTAGCTAACTCTGGAGAGACATTTACTTTTCTTAAATGGCAGTATTACCTTTGGACTGATGTTAGTCCATATCACAACTGCTTTTGCTGGCATTTATCTTTCAAGGCAGTGGAGTTAGTAGATCAGTGCACAGTATTAAATAAGGTTTAGAATAAAGATGAGCTAATGTGACTGTTTTACGTAGGAATGATATTCAATTTAAATTAGATTTTTATTTCGGCAGAAAAGTAATGAAAAGTCTAAAAAATTATGCATGCATGGCAAAGTACCTATTAAGATATTACACTTACTAACCTGTAATGGAATAAGGTAATTTACTCAGATGACACAATGTAAAGTACTACCAATTTTAAAATAGAGGATTATTTAAAAGTTTATTTAGAAAATAAACATTAAAGAAGTTCCTATTCTTTCATGATAAGTACACAGTAGTATATATTCCATTAACAGAATACTCGTTAAAACCAGCCCTCTAATAAAAGGCAATGGAATTGGATATTCATAAGATGTGATGATGTTAAAGAGCTGTGACTGAATTCAGCCTATATGTGAAATACTGTTAATACTGTATAAGTGCATAGAAGAGAACAAAGAGTGGGTCAAGAGGTTTACAGTTCAGTGACATTAAACTTCTTCCCATTCAATAGCTGCAACACAAGTACAAAACTGCTTGACACAATATTCATTACATGTACTTTAGCAATAAAAGGATCACCATTAGAACAGTAGTAGAACTGTAGGAAGGGGGATCTGAAAGATAAGGAAGATAAACATGACCAAATCAAATGTTTTCAATGGCAAATATGAAATTGATAGTTAACAAAACAACAACAACAAATCAGAGAGACACTTTGACATCCTCTTAATTCTCTTCTACACGTTGTTATTAGTATGGGATGACTGCAAAGAAAGTTTGACATGGAGAAAGTTCACTACTCTTGCCCATGGCCTATTTTCTTTTTTTTTTTTTTCTTTTTTTTTTTTTTTTTACCTAGACCATAATTAATTGGCAGAATATGTAAGTAGCTAGACAAGTTAACAAACTATACACTGGAGATGGTTGATGGCATTTATACTAAGTGAAATTTTTTTGTGAGGAGTGATTGGTGGTTTGTACAGATGCTGTTGCTGCTCTTTGTAGATCAAATCTGCTTGGAAGGAAGCAGAGCTCTCAGACTGGAAAGAGCAAACAGGCCACAAAGGTAGCTGTGTTGCAAGTGGAGCTTGTAGCCAACTGCTTGAGAGGAAAACTCTTGAGCTTTAAGGTTGACTCTTGGACAAATTCACAAATTGATTGAGGGTATACATAGCCTTTCTGTCTCTTTTTCATTGGGAGAAAAAGTCACTGATCTTATGTGTCATGGTTATATCTACCAATGATTGTTCTAAGGATCACTCAGGTGGGAGAAATATGATAAATTGCAACTGTTTTATTAAATCCATGTGTCTCGAAGGAGGGGACAAAGGTGATCCTACAAGCCACAGCTGTAGTTCAATGCAGTGTGATGCAAAAGCATAGTACCAAAAAGCCTGTTCTAGAACAAAAAATATTACATCTGTGCAGTGCTGTGCCGTGCCACATATGGAAAGGCAATATTTCAGGTATTTGGAAAAATCACTTGTTTAACGTGGCTTTGGTGCCTCAAGGCTTCAAAGTCGTGAAATCTGTTTGTTCTTTTGTACTATGAATATATGCTGAATGTACTATATTCCTCACTTGGATACACATACATTATTAGATCTGCATCATCCCATATTTTTTATTCAATGTCCCCTTCAAGTACTTAGAAGCAAAAATGACCCAAACAGTACTCCTGGAATTGCAAGTTGCAAAGTGCAAATAGATAGCAATGTGTGCCTTCATTGGGCGCACAACACTTTATGCAAATCTTTGCATAGTACAAAGCTAAACATAATGAAACATCATTTGAAATCAGTGGGATTTAATCATTCTGTTGTTTTGTTTTGATTTGATTTTTTTTTTTTTTTTTTTTTTAAGAAAAAGGAAAAACACACAGATGAATATACCTTTTCCCAGATGTAATGACAGGAAGGATAATGCTAGACTTGAAATAAAGATCTGCCTTCTAGAATTTAAGTGATAGATCTTGAAAGAAAAATGACTGAAAGGTCTGCAATGGTTAGATATTGCTTTTTAGCAAACAAAATTCTGCTTCAGAAAAAACAAATGAAGTGTAGGAGATAGACAGCAGTGTAGAGTTCATATGCACAAAGATAGTACTCCTTAAGTATGCATAGATGGGATGTGTATTAAGAATAAGAATCACATACTCAGTAGGAATCTGGTGCTCGAGCATTATGGGATATGACATGGAAACAGATGCTTCATTTCCACAGACCAGGTATAATCAAAAAGCAAATGCAGAGTGTCATTTTCAATTCACATAAATATTCTTCAGAACGGAGATTTTAACAAGGAGCTGCAACTCTCTTTTGTGTACTTAAAGCCCTTTTTTCTCTCTTTTTTCATTCCATTACTTTAGTGCAGAGACTTCAGCATTTGATAGTGCCTTTATGATCAATACCAGAGCTGCAATTAAATCGTACACTATAAACTTGAGGCATTTATATTGTGTGGTGGAATAATTACCTTTGAACAACATACAGAGCTAAGGGGTTTACTGTATAAGAAAGGATTTTAGATCAGCTAGGATAATAAATTATTTGCCTTTGTTGTTCCTGGTTCTGCATTCCTGAAGTTAAATATGATTTTCAGGATGTCCAGGACAGCAGTTCTGTGTTATTTCAGTTCCTTACATGAAATAGTTATAAATGTCTTCTGAAATCATTGTAGCGTGGTAAATCACTGTCAACACATTTCAACTGGTTATATTTTGGCATGTTCTCTATTTTCAGACACAGTCAATGCAGTGGACATATGAAATCAACGGACTGCTTCCACAGACTGCACCACCTACAAGCCCAGCAAAAGTAGTTTCTACCAACAGTTACATAAGATCAGCCACAGTTCGACAGCGCAACTTTTTACATGAGAATCTGAAGCTTACAACCACGGGGGTATCCTCACCTATCAAGGGAGCACCTTTAATCCTGAGAAAAAAATAGAGAAAGTTGAGCTGTGATTTTTTTTTTGTTGTTTTGTTTTGTTTATTTGTTTATTTTATGGGGGAGGGGTGGAATGAAGTAGATCTCTTTGTCAAATGAACATCCACCAGTGACTTTATATGGGTGTTCCAGCTTTCTTTGCTCTTAACGTACTGTTACATCTATGCTGTCATGCCTTATAAGATCCCTGGATGGATAACACCTACCTTCTTTTTTCACTGGAATTGTTTTTTCTGACTTCACTAACAGAAAGTAAATTTTATTTGTGCCTTTATTTTGATAGTGGAGTCTATTTCAACAACAACAACAACAAAAAAAAAAAAACAACAGCTTAGCGCAGAGTAAATGCTTTCTTGGCACAAATATAGAATGATCATCACTGCTCAGGAATGGGGAGCCTGAGAATAACCTATGTATGTTGGTGTGAGTGAGTACCAATAAAACCATTTTACCACCGCATGCTTGACGATTTTGTTTTTGCCACACGTTTCAGAGAAGCTATTAGAGGAAATGTTGGAAACATATAAAACAGTGATGGCACTCTTTAATCTCCCATTTTAAATGCAGTGTGCCCTGTTTCGATCAGAAACCAGGTAATCTCAAGTAAGAATAAAATTTCCCTTTCAAATACAGTACGCAACACAGGAAAGGCACTGCCAATAATGATATCTGCTATGTTTCTAAAAAAGAACAAGAAAATCTTACATTTCAGTTATATGCTACTGGGAACACAAATATAGCTAGATTTCTTAAGAATGCTCTATCTGCATATGTAATTGAAGGAACTGTTCCTATAACTGTAAGAAATCAGAATTTACAGTTCAGGAATATGCAATGGTTTCACAACTGATTATGGTATTCAGGAAGAATTTCAGTGACAATTTTTCTTTGTCAGAGCTTTGTTTTCCTGGCTTTGCTTTCAAATGGTTTTACTTTCCCATTTAAAATGAGGCCTGTTTGCAGCACACTCAAATGAGATAGATAAGCAGGTGGCATATAAATCAGTCACTCAACAGTTAAGTGTTGCTCACTTCAGAAATTTTATTTCACAATTAGCTTGCCCACATCTGCTATTGCATCTAGTAGATTTTCAAATTTGGTCATACATTCCAACGTTAAAAAAATCCATAGACAAATGTTTATCTGATTACATCTGGAATGCATTTTCAAAGGTGAAGTTTAATCATATTGTCTATCTCAAGAGGGAAACATCATCTGTTACTTCTGAACCAGTTTACAGACTTTTCCAGTATATACAAGGCCACTCAGGATTTATGCAAGATTTGTCATCTGCACCTGTACCTTTTTTTAAATAAATGAATTACATCTTCTGATTTTTCCAGACTTTGAACTGAAAATATTTTTTCAGGTATCATGAACATAGCTGCAAAGATGATTTGAATAGGGACCATTATATCCATGTGCTTCTAACTTCCACACTGTTTTACATATTCTCCACATACTTCTATGGATTCCACTGACTATATACAGTCTCTCTTAAAAAAAAAATTCGTTTTTACTTTGTGACTTCATGCTTTGCACTTTTATCAGCTCTATGATTGTATTCTTTATAGTGCAAGAGCAAATTCTAATTCTCCATATCTTTTAAAAAATACTTTTTAAGCAGCAGCTCTGGAAGATTTCCAGAATGATAAGTTTTATTGTCTTCTTGCTCCCTCTAATTTTTTTTTCTTTAAATAGAATTACTGAGCCATAATTGAAAATTGTGGAGTTTCAGCCCATTGACGTGAAGAATGCATACAAGAAAGGGTTATAAAATGATGGTTTTTATCCATAAAAACTTAAATCCAAAGCTTTTGGACTTCCCATTAAATAAGAATTTCAGAAATGAAAGGCAAGATGCTCACATTATCCCATATCTTAAAAATGTAATCTATAAAAGAAAATAACTGCTGGAAATCAGCCCAGCCACAGTTGTTGCAGTTGGAGTATAGATGAAAAGGGAAGGAAGAAAAGTCCAAATGATTTTCTTAGCATTCCTTCTAAATTACCGTTTATTATCATAAGCTTCTCACAAGGAAATGGAAGAAAATGAACATAGACTCAGTGTTACTGCTCTTGAAGAAGCACTCAAGATGTTTTCTATGGACTCATGTTACAGCAACTGCTAGCAGAAATTAGAAGATAAATAATTACTTCTGTGTCTCCACATTATAGCACAAGGGATGAAAAATAAGTACCTCTTTTCAAAAACCGGATGAGGTTTAACAAAAGCAAGTGTAGAGTCTTGCACCTGGGGAGGAATAATTGCATGCACCGGTACAGGTCGGGGGATGAGCTGCTGGAGAGGAGCTCTGCGGAGAGAGAAGGACCTGGGTGTCCTGCTGGACGACAGGTTGGCCATGAGCCAGCAGTGTGCCCTTGTGGCCAAGAGGGCCAATGGCATCCTGGGGTGCATTAAAAAGAGCATGGCCAGCAGGTCGAGGGAGGTGATCCTCCCCCTCTACTCTGCCCTGGTAAGGCCTCACCTGGAGTACTGCGTCCAGTTCTGGGCTCCCCAGTACAAAAAAGACAGAGATCTCTTGGAAAGAGTCCAGCGGAGGGCCGCAAAGATGGTGAAGGGCCTGGAGCATCTCTGCTATGAGGAAAGGCTGAGTGAACTGGGTCTGTTCAGCCTTGAGAAAAGAAGGCTGAGAGGGGACCTGATCCAGGTCTATAAATATCTGAGGTGTGGGGGGCAGAATGGCGAGGACGGACTCTTTTCAGTGGTGAGTGGAGACAGGACAAGGGGAAACGGCTGGAAACTGCAGCATAGGAAGTTCTGCACAAATGTGCGCAAGAACTTCTTTACAGTGAGGTGACGGAGCACTGGAACAGGCTGCCCAGGGAGGTGGTGGAGTCTCCTTGTCTGGAGATGTTCAAGACCTGCCTGGATGCCTACCTGTGCGACCTGCTGTAGGGAACCTGCTTTGGCAGGGGGGTTGGACTCCATGATCTCTGGAGGTCCCTTCCAACCCCTACGATTCTGTGATTCTGTGATACGACAGATGAAAGATGACATACAGCAAGGCAAATAAGTGTCCTTTGATGGTCTGTTCTGAAAGGCCGGTGTTCAAAAACAGGACCTCTTCTGTATTTATCCCTCTCATCTTTCACAACCCAGATATATAAAGCACATTACTCACCCTACTAAGTGTTTCTAATTTTCTGTATGTTACTGTTACAAATGTAACAGACGAAACCGTAAAAAAAATAAAAGTGCACTGTTACCATTTCATAAACATACAAGTCACAAAATGCTGTCATCATTATTCCTAGCTCATATCAGGTCCTCTTTGCTTTTAAAATCCTGCCTATTACTCTCATAGCTGAACAACTTCCACTTGAAAGCACTGTTCCCAGCAGCGAAGACCTCAGGGCATTTCATGCAGTATCTGGTCTCCCTCAGGTCTCAAGATATATACCTGCACTTCAGTTCTTAGTTTATTCCTTATCTTAGCCTTTTATTACTACCATTGTTTTGACTACAAAGCTGAGGCCTGGCTTAGGCAGGATGTAGCAGTAAGCATGTGAACAGGTTTTCTCAGGAAGAAATACTACGTGTGATCCTCAGGTCATGCAACCTCATAGCACTGTGTGCTTTGTCTTCTGATTTGCAAGCTCCACCAGTCCACAGGAGACCAGCTGTCTTAGTAGCTCACAGCCTGAAATTCAGCCTTTAACATTGTTTGGCCTTGTTTTTTTTCAGTCGCTTCAAGATTTAGTTCTGATGTCTTCAATGAATATGAGAAATACCCTGGGACTGTCTGAAGGAATTAGACAGCAAACTCAACACAGAAGTCTACGTCTAACACCACTGAGGAAGCAAGCCATTACGTGTCAAACCTGGAGGATGGCAAGCTCGACTCACACATCTCAGGAAATCAATGAATTGTAATGGTGACAGGTCTGCCGTGTGTTACAACATGCTGCAGCCAGGACCCACTGGGTAGGCGCCTGCAAAGAATATTTCACCCTTCTATTCTTCACGTTCACTGCTCAACGTCCTTTTCTGATTGACTGTTTCACTTCCCTGGCTTGGGTGGGTGTTGAGTTGGGTGGGGGGAAAATGGAATGAAATGCACCAAGGGCAAGCTAGAGACTTGTGTCTAGGCCAGAGCAATGCCAGGTACCAGTATAGGTTGGGGACTGACCTGTTGGAGAGCAGCGTAGGGGAAAGGGACCCGTGGGTCCTGGTGGACAGCAGGGTGACCACGAGCCAGCGCTGTGCCCTTGCGGCCAAGAAGGCCAGTGGCACCCTGGGACCTACTAGAAGGGGCATGGTTAGTAGGTCAAAAGAGGTTCTCCTGCTTCTCTACTGTGCCCTGGTGAGACCGCATCTGGAGTATTGTGTCCAGTTCTGGGCCCCTCTGTTCAAGAAGGACAGGGAACTGCTTGAGAGAGTCCAGCACAGAGCCACAAAGATGAGGAAGGGACCAGAGCATTTCCCTTACGAGGAAAGTCGGAGGGAGCTTTGGCTTGGAGGAGACTGAGAGGTGACCTACTGAACGCTTACAAATATGTCAAGGATGTCTGTCAGGAGGATGGAGCCAGGCTTTTCTCAGTGACATCCAGTGACAGGATAAGGGCAATGGGGACAAGCTGGAACAGAAGAGGTTCCACATTAATGCTAGAAAGAAACTTCTTCATGGTGAGGGTCACAGAATACTGGAACGGGCTGCCAGAGAGGTGGTGGGGTCTCCCTCTCTGGAGACATTCAAAACCTGCCTGGACGCATTCCTGTGTGACCTAACCTAGGTGTTCCCAGCAGGGGGATTAGATTAGATGAGCTTTTGAGGTTTCTTCCAACCCCTGACATTTGGTGACTCTGTGATTCTGTAATTGGTATGGAGAAGAGACAGCAGCTATTAAAATGAAGACTTGGTTTTAAAAAAAAAAAAAAAGAGTACTATTTATTTATTAATTAATTTATTTATGTATTTTTAATAAATAATACAATTTTTAAGCTCATCTTCCCTTTCTCTTTTCTCTTTTTTCTCTTTTCTCTTTTTCTTTCTCTTCTCTTCCTTTTCTCTTTTCGCTTCGCTCTTCTATCGGCTCCACCGTTGCAGACAAAACTCTCTTATTCTCCTCCACATCTCACTAGAAAAAGGAGAATCACAAGTTGTGACTAAGAAATTGTTGTGTTTCCTCCCGGGAAGCATTCCTCCTTACTTCCTCTGACAGAGGCAAGCTACAACTGGGGCTGCACCAACAGCAAAGGCAGGAGTGCTGATACCTGTCTGTGGGCCCAAGCAGCCGGGAGAAGTTGTCAATCATGACCTCTTTGTGGCAGCGGGTGAGGATGACCACCGCCTGGCACAGGAAGGGCATGAACGTGCTCTGCTGCGCGGATGATGTGCAGCTGCGCAGGATGTGGAGGATTGGTAGCACCTGAAAGAAGAAGGGCAGAAAGAATGACTTGCTGCGTCCTGGACTCTGCAGGGCCTAACGATGGACATTCAGCACATGAGCAGTGCCTGCTCCCTTGACATGCTGCCAAGGCCTAAGCCTAAATTGCACGCCAGCCACCCTGTCCAAGCCCTGGCTCTGCACTCAGGCTGTGCTTCTTTAGCACAGGAGGCAAATGGCACAAGGTGTAGTGCAACAGCCAGCAAAAGTCCAAGAGAGGTGGAAGAAAGTCTCTTACGTCCCGACAGATGTCCTTCCCGTACATCTGCAGAAAGGTGATCATCCACTTCCCAGCTGCACGCACGCGCATTCCCCTGGCTTTCCGCAAGGTCTCCTTGATGGCCATCAGGAAGTCAACGGTGCGTTCCAGGGGGAAGTTTCTGCACACCATCTGCAGAGAAAAGAGAAGAGGAGAGATCTCATCACTGCTCTGCGGCAGCTCTTCAAAACAGAAAGCAGTCTTAGGGCGTTCTTAGTTCAGCAGCTTGCCGGTCATTCAGGGGCCATCACAGCGCTCCTGCTCTCCTACCCTGCTCTTTATACGGAAGGCGGTTGAGCCTTCTCTCAGCTGCTCCACCCATGGTTTCTGCTTACATGCAAAGCCTACCTAGCAGCCACAGTCACACACACACACAGACACACCATGGAATCAGCTCCTTGCATGGGGGGCCTGAAGGGCAGACGTAGCTCAGAGCCTCCTGCTACTTGCTGAGAAAAGAGGTCTCAGGGTGACAGCTCATTTTGGAAATGGTATGAAAGGCTGGGGACAGCCTAGGGTCGTGCAGAAGCCTATGCACTGAGATGCCACCACCCCTTTTTGGGTCCACTTACCCTTGCCAGTTTGGATGAGGTCTGGAACTGAGCGATGGTGCTGCAGTCATTCAGCCCCTCACACAGGCTCCCAGCGTCTCCTGAATCCATGACTCTGTTGGCCGCCTTGGCTGGAAAGAGCACGAGAGAAAAGGGAAGTCATGCTTCTGGAAACAGAACTGCTTTCCATGGGGGAGAGACTGAGGACAGGGTGGGGACAAGAAGAGAGCTGTGCACAGTGCATCTCCCTCCTGTACACAGGGCCCAGCCCGTGGGGCTCTGGTAGTGCTGCGGAGGAGAGCACAGGGCTGGTGCATCCCGCTCTACTCACCTTGGATTTGCAGAAGGGAGCTCAGGCAGGTGGCGGCCAACTGGCGGGATGTGGGCATGGGGTCACATGTCAGCGGAGCCAGCAATCCCACCAAGGAGCCAAAGGACTCACAGGCATCTCCTCTCTGCAGGAATGAGAGGCAGGAACAAAGCTGTAGGCAGCCCCAGCTCTCCCCAGCTTCTCCTGCCCGTGCCTTCCCCATGCCAGCATGCACAGCTGGGCGGAGCTCGCCTTCCAGCTCAGGGGCACTGGGGAGGGAGCAGGGAGCATGCAGTGGGGCTCTTTACTCACCGGAAGCTCTTCACAAGCAGCCAGCAGCTGGGAGCAGGTCTGCAGGGCCCTGTTACGCTCCCACATGTTGTTTGAGGTCAGTGATCTCTGCAGGACCTGAAGCAGAGCATCCATCTCACCATGGACATTTTTCCCTTCCTGCCATCCCTCTCCCTGTCCCTCTTTTCCCAACAGTTTCCCTCAGGTCCTGCCCTGTGGCTCCACGTGGACCCCTGCCTCACTGTGCGCTGACACTGCTGCTCCCATTTTCTGCAGATACTGCTGCCTCCTAACCCAGGAGCTTTTCCTCGGCTCTGCCCTACCAGGGGCTGGCTCCTGCCTTTCCCCCTGCAGAGCCCATTTCTCTGCCCGTTTCTCAGCTCGCAGTGAGCTGGCCTGTTAGCAGGAGATTTCTCCCCCTTCGATCACACTGTCAGTCCCCAGATCTCTGTCCCTGCTATCAACGGGCACCATGCTTCCTCCCTTGCCCCACACGTACTCACCTGGACTATGTTCTGGAAGAATCCCCGGGTGGTCTCTGTCTCAAGCAGGACCACCATGAGCCGGCCCAGAGCTTTCAACGATGTCTGCAGAAGCTGAAAGCAGGAGAGGGGATTGAGGTGTGGCATCACGGCTGCTGCTGGAGCACAGGCCGTGTGTGCTGAGGTAGGGCTCTGACGCAGAGGTGGCTGGGAAAGTTACGGCAGGTTACCTGCAGGTACTGTGCTGCTTGCCGTGACTTCTTGATCTTCAGCATCATCTCTGCTGAAGGGTGTGACACAATGTTCTTGCAGCACAGAGCCAACATTTCACGTGCATCCTTGCTTCCTAAAGAGGGCTTCAGCTTGCTGACAGGAGGAAAAAAGGAAGAGAAAGCAGAAAGGGCCTTTACCACTGCTCTCCAGACTGGTTCAGACAATGTCTGAAGCTTCGGAAGCTACCCTAAAGGGGGACCACCATCTGCCTTGCAAGCCTAGAGGCTCCCACCCTTACCTCAACTGCTCCAGGGCCAGAATCACCTTGAGGGGCACTGGGGAGACAGGGGTGCCCAAGTAATACTTCTTCAGCAAGTCCTGCAAGTACCAGAGAAACATTGTCAAAGTGGGCAAGGGCCACGAGAGAGCTCTTCCGCCTGGCCCACAGACAGAAACAACTGCCACACACCAGCCCCATCGTTCCCACATTTCCCATGCAAGCACTGCAGGATGCAGCAGCTCCACAGCTGGTGGACCTAGCCCGCTGCCTGCTGCTGCCTGCCAGCACCCAAGGGCTCCACCAGCTGGAGACCTATGGCTGAGGGAGACCTGCATGGCTCCAGGGATGGGAGCCTCGTGGCACAGCCCAGAACTCCTCTGCAGAGAGCCCTGGCTCTAGGCACTCACCATCAGGATCTCCAGCAGCTTGCTCTTCAAGGAGGGGTTAAAGAAGGCGGAGCCACCCACAGCATGGACAGCAGAGCTGAAGTCAGTGATGCTCTGCACCAGCGCGAGCTTGTTCTGCAAGTCCTGAGGCCAAGAGAGAAGAACATTCTTTGAACTGTGGGAAGGGCCAGGGGCTGTAAAGGGGACACATGGGGCAACACTAAGGGAAGGGCTTGGATCTTCATCTGGGCACAAACCGTTCCCCAAGGGACCTTTGGAAAGAGAAGGCCCATCTCAGCATCCCCCCACGCGGAGGGGCTGCAGCTGGGTGCTCTGACACCCTGGCAGACTTCGAGCTCTCACCTGGCAGCTGCAGCTGTACAGCAGCAGGATGTTGCCCACAATGTCTCCCTCCAGGCGGGCGAGCAGCTGCTCCTTGGAGGCTCGCAGTGCCAAGCTGCCATGGGCGAGGATGAGAGCGCTGCGTGTAGCCTGAGCTCTCGCGCTGTCCAGCTCCGTCTGTGTGGGGAGAAATGCCTTGAGACACTCGCTCAGCAGCCCCCAGTGCCCTGCGGTGCACCTGGGCTCCCAGGTCAGGAGCTGCTGTGAAAATAAGGCAGAAGAATGCCAAGATGGAAACCCGTAGCACTTTACCTTCTTGCGTCTGGAGATCCTCCCATTCCGGCCTTTGCACAGCCTGGACGCAAACATGGTGAGTGTGTCCAGGACTGTGTGGAAGTTGCTGTCAGCAGCAAGGCTGACAAGAGAGATCATTCCCTGCACAAAAGAACGAGGGGCAGTTGGCCCAGGCCTGAACCTGCTGGCACGGCCAGCCACAGTGGCCGGGCTGGTCCTTGCCTGGGGGAAATGGCAGCACTGAGGAGATGGAAAGGCCCGGAGCAGGGCCAAGAGAAGCCCTCTGCCCCAGGGACAGAGCGGGGATGCTCACAGAGTTGGAGGAGAAGAGAGCTCACCTGGGCCTCAGATGGCTCCTCTGCATTGGATTCCTCCAGGTGCTGCAGCAGCTTCTCCTGGACATGGAGGACTTCCTTACAAGCTCCCAGAACGGCACCCAGAGCCTTGTACAGGAAGGTCTGCGTGGGAAGGGAAGGAGTAAGCTGGGATGTGGCAGCAGCCTGACCTTACAGGAGAGGGCTAGATGGGAAGGACCCACACTCCCTGGGAGTCGCTGAGAGCAGCTGTGGAGCAGAGCTGTAGCCAGCCCCAGGCAGTTTGCAGGGAACCGCCCTGTGAGGGCACAGGCTGTGGAAGCAGCGTGAGCAGCCCGTGTGGGCAGAGCAGCAGCCTCAGCCCCAGCCCCAGTTGGGCACTGCTGATTAGAGCCGCGGGGAACTCACCTTTTCTGCAGAGCTGCTGGCAGAGCTGCTCAGCCGCCGGCTCAGCTCGCAGCTCAGGGCCTTGGTCCAGGCCTCGTCCTCCACGACGTCCAGCGATGCCCTCAGGAACTGTTGGAGAACAGGAGAAGCCAATGTTCCCTTGCCCTTTGCCTCTTCCCGTGTTCCCAAGTCACTGCAGCCTTCTGGGGAGAGGTGCCTGGAAGAACAGCCCCTCTCCCAGCTCCCCCCAGCATTCCCTCCATTAAAGCCACCTACTGCTCCTCTCCTAAGACCCCCCTTGGGCTTGGGACAAAGAGGAAGAGGCAGCGCTGCAAAGGCGAGCAGCTGCTCCACAGCAGCTTTTGAGAGGCTGTTCCTGTCCCGTGGTGGCTCGTATGGGAGCGGGGCTCCTTGTGGCAGGCAGGCAAGCATTTCTCTGCACCATGTCTCTCCACAGTGCTGTACCTTTAGCAGACGGTGCTCCCAGTCTTCAGAGTTCGGGAAGCTCTCATCTTTCCCTGCACAGCAGCAAGAAGCAAGAGAACGTTGCTTGGAATCAAGCCACAAAAGAAGAGCTGCACCAAACCTGGCTTGGCTTGGGCACTCGCCCACTCTACCTCTCCCTCCCCACCAGCATTTTACCTTCAAGGCGCTGCAGCAGCAGGGGGATCTCAGCAGCCCACTTGGCCCCCACAGCTCTGTGGATCTTGCTGTGGAGGTTTTGCAGGAGCAGCAAGGCAGCGGCTTGGAGTTCGCTGCCTGCAAAAGGGCTCCCTGCCACCACCTGAGCGAGAGCAAGGAGAAACAGGTTCACTTCTGCTGCAAGAGAAGCGGCTTCCCCCAGGAGGAAAGCAGCTTGGCTCTGCCCTGATGGGCAAGGAGCAGCCAGCAGCTTGGCCCATGACATTGCAAGCTAGGAAGAGAACGGCATCCCCAGGAGTGAGGCAGGTGCTGGCACGCTCGGCCATGCTGCTTCCTCCTCGGGGCTTGTGGCACCGGCCTCAGGAGCATCTACTTACCAGCAGACGTGCCAGCAGTGTCTGGGGAGTCAGCAGTGGGCCTGCGAGGAGAAAGAAGTGCTGAGTAAGACTCCAAGACACTCTGTGCCCTGCCACGTGCACCTCTGCTCTCCCTTCTGGGTGCTAACATGGGTCAGCAGAGCTCACGGGGGAGCTTCTGCTCCTACCTTGAAACATGGAGCTGAGGAAGTGGGGATCCAGATCTTCCATGTCCCGCACCGTCAGCTCCCCTCTCTTGGCCAGGGCTTGGACGCAGCGGGAGACCGGGATCAGCATGCCGGTGTACTGGGCTGGCACCACGTACAGCAGCAGCCGCGGCCACAGGAGCTGTAGGGAACGAGGCAGTTGAGCATGTCAGCATTCGTGCCTCCGCTCAGAGATAAAGAGGACTCTGAATTTCCTTCAGAGCACGCTGGAGGACAGACCTGAGGTGTTGGAAGGGGACGAGGAACACGTGGTGCAAAGGCAAGGAGTGGCAGCAGGGCAGAGTGTGACTTACTTTGGAGATCCCTCTCGCAGAGACATCCAGTGACCCCAGGATGTTGATGCACAGCTCTTGGAGAGCTCCCTCTTCCTGGGCTTCCTGGGTGGAAAGGTCTCCGGCTGCCTGCACAACAGTGGTGTTGAAACACTGGTTACTCTCAGTTCTCAGGAGCCTCTCAGGAGGCTCAGGTGTGGCCCCACCGGTGCTTCTGTGCCAGCCTATGAGCTGCACAGGTCTTCCAAAGGAAGATGCTGCCCACTGTCCTTACCCTTCTTCCCGTGGTGCGGCTGAACTCCCTGAAGATGTGCCCCACCACATCCCAGGCTGAGCAGCTCCAGGCGTTAGCGCTGAGCAGATCCTCAATGAAGTGCAGCACGGCCCTCCTCACCTGCCAGGGGTCAATTGTGGGTGTGATTTTCCTGCTCAGAAGGCCAAGGGAAGCCACCTGCTCATCAGGTGCCCTTTGGGCATGAGCAGAGATGACAAAAGCAGAGGAGAAGAGGTGAGGGCCAGGCCTTAGCACCAGGCTGTGCACTTTCCATGCACAGCACAGGGACCCGACCGCTCCACTCTGCCTGCTCTCCTGACAGGAGCCATCGTGACCATGTGGTCGATGCCCCAGCACATCCCCGGTCACCCCAGGCCCTGCCGTATTGGCAGCAGCATCACCACCCTGACAGTGCTTTCCTTTCCCCAAACAGCTCACCCGGGTCCTGGGGTCACTGCACACACGCTGCACAGCCTCTGTAATCTGCGGCAGCTTCTCTGTCATCGCAGGCTCTGCAAGAGATGCACAGAAGCATGCGTGGAGGCACAACTCAGATGGCAAAAGGGATCCCTGGAAGTCCCGACCCGTGGTACTGACCATCAGAGCGAGCCAGAGCGCCGAGCAGACCCAGGGCTGCCACGCATCCAGCCTCCCACTCATCGCCCAGCTGCGACTGCAGAAACAGGACCGTTTCCTCTGGGCAGATTCGGGCTGCAGAAAGGAAATGCCATGCTGTGTTAGTGAGCAACTCGTGCCCATTCGTGAGGTTACAGAGAGATGTATTGGCCAGAGCACCGGCAAGCATCGCCAGAGCTCCTCTCCTTACCCTGCAGCAGGATGCAGCGGGTCAGCTCTGCTCTGTCAGCCTCGCTGTGCTGCTTGGCGTCATCAGAGAGCTGTGGGAACAAAGTCCATTTGAGAAAATCACATGAGCATTGAGGATGGAAAAGACACTGTGCTGCCAGCTCCTGTCTCCCTTGACACTCTCAGGAAGAGGACACACAGACAAAACTAAGCCTGCCCCACAGGCATGCAGGAGCTAAGGCTGAGCAGCCATCAGAGGCTCAGAGCTTTGCAGTCCTCCTGAGGCTTAGCCCAGAGGGAAACTGCTGTGCACACAAGGATAGGCTCCCCTTACCTGATAGAACACGGCACTGGTGACGGCCAGAAACTTGTCCTTAGGGATGACAGACTGAACTCCCGGTAAGGCCTCCAGGAACATACGAAGGCTCTGCAAGAGACCAGCAGAGGAAGAAAGGGCTGAAGCCACATCTAGCCACTAGGGAGCAGAGCAGAGGAACTGTTTCCCAGTGGTTTGTCTGCTGGGAGAAGCTGCCACACAAGTGTTCTTGTTTGTCCGTCCCCCCCAGCAGCACCAAGAGAGGCTCTCTGCTCTTAGCTGAGCCTTGGGGCTTGGGCATCATTTGCAGGCATTTCCCACCCGCAGCCCTCTTCTCCCCCATCAGATTCAGGAGCCCCCATGGTGGTGGTGAAGCCTCCCATCCCCAGGAGATGGGCACCAGTGACTCTTGGCTTCCTCCTGGCTCCTGTCCACATTGTTCCTTCCTGGACTGAAGAGCTCAGCAAGCCTCAGACTTCCCTTGAGCACCTGTTCCTTCTTTCTCCAAGGACCGCCCACCTCCTCCCTGCACCCCCCTGACCCCTTGTGGCACTTGCACGGGCCCCACGTCCACACCAAGCCCTGTGCAACATCTTACCTTGGCCACCCTGCAGGTGTCTTGCATCTCCTGACACGGGTGCACGAGCCAGAGGAGCCGCTCCCAGACGTGCTCTCGGGGCAGCTCCTCTTGCAGGAGGACAGTCATCATGGCAGCCACAGCCCCGAGAACGGCCTGTCTGTCCTGGAGAGGGATGGCAGAGGCCCAGCATCAAAGACTGAACGTCTGCCCTTCCTACAGAGAGGGCTTTCTTTTTCCATTCCCCTTCCCCACACCCCTGTGCCCAGCAGGACATGGGCTCGCTCTCCCTGGGCAGGCAGGTTTTCCCCATACCCTCATCCCCGGCTCTCCCTGCCACAATGCTGTGACTTGTGACTGCTCCCTGGCAGGGAGATCCAGCCCCAAGCACAGAGCCAGTTTGGGGCCCTTTGCAGAGCCAGCCCACACCCTCTCGACACCCCTCTGCTCTCAGCCTGCTGGGCACAGACAGAGCTGCCAACATGGATGCCCCAGCTGCCATCTGCCAGGCTGGGGATGAAGCAGTGCTCACCTCTTCCTCCTTGCAGTCCTGCCAGTTGCTGACCACAAAGAAGAAGAGCTCATGAAGATTCTCATACATTTGTTCTTTCTCTGTGGCAGGCCAGGGGCTGTGCTTTCCAGAGGACAAGTGAATCTTGACGCCATCCATCCATTGTTTCACAACTGAAAACAAACAAACAAACAAACAAGTAATTAATTACAGAAAACAACAACAACAACAATGCAACAAAACAAAAGAAGAGAAAAGGCAGCCTGTGAGAGTCTGCAGCAGGGTGAGGTGCAAGGGCTGTCCCCAGCCCCCCTGCCTTGGGGCCGGCACTCACCAGCACAAGCAGTGCGCAGGGTCCGGCCGCTCCTCACCCGGCCCACCACACTGCACAGGCCGGCCAGCGTCAGCCACACAAAAGAGATGCACTGTGGAGCTGCAGAGAGGAAGGAGAAGGGCACGGTCAGAGCCTCAGCAGGGAGGGAGGAGAGGCTGCAGAGCCCTGCACCCCCCAGCTCTATGCACATCATGCGCAAGGGGAGAGACCCCTCTCCCTAGTTGTTATAGATGTCAGGAGGCTGAGGGCACTCTACCATAGATGCCGAAGAGTTTGCTCAAGGTGACGAGCACAAACTCCTTGCACATCTCCCGTGTGGCCTTCAGGTGGCCCTGGAGCTCGGCCATCACCATGGAGAAGTGAGTCCGGGCCAGAGCCACCAGGACATTGCTGGCAGCCGTCCTCACGCTGTCCGTCACGCCCTGAAAAAGAGTCACTGGTGACACACGGCACAGGAGGCTGCCCGAGCCTTCCCTCGGAAGGGCCAAGCCAGCGCCGTCTGTTCTGCCAGCAGAACAGCAGCACGGGCAGGCAGCTCCCTTTGCCTTCGGGAGTGAGCCCTCACCTGGGCTGCTGTCAGGTCCTGGGACACCTCAGCCAGCAGCCGGTTCACCACTCCGCACGGCGGGCGGCTGTCCTCTTCCCCCAGGACGTGCTCCAGCTCGCAGTACGCCTGCTCTCGGTCACCCTGGGAACAGGGATAGGTCACGTTTTGCTTTGCCCTTGTTCCCGGGGAGCCGCCCGCTGCCGCCCATCGCTATGCCGATGTGCTGCCGGGGCCTGGCAGCCACGGGACAAGAAGCAGGGCAAGGACCGATGGTTGGACGTCCCCAGCTCACCTCCTGGTCTTGCAGGCGCTGCAGCAGTAAAGTCACGGCACAGGTGGGGACAGGGCTTTCCACCCTGCCTCTCTCCCCGCGACGTGTGCGTCTGGGCATGCAGCCCACACAGGCAAAGAGACCTGGAAGGAAAGAGCAGAGCAGCTGCCGCCGGTGTTGCTTGGAGCCAGGGCCGAGCATGCAGCCAGCTCTGGGAGGAACGCTCCTCCAGCCCCACAGCGCGGGGTGGGCTGCGCTGGCACGCGTGTGGTCAGTGGGGAGAGGGGAGAGAGCCTTCCCCTTGTTGGGGTACTGGGGAAAGCACAGTGGGCGGCTGCACTCAGCAGAGCAAGGACAGTGCTGCTGGCACGTCCTAAAGAGACACTGGAGGCACACACGTGCTCGGGCAGCACCACGGTGTCCAGAGAGGTGGAGGGACCTCACCTCGAAGGGCTCTCAGCCGCTCCATCACAACAGGATGCTTCCAGACAGACACAACGCTCTCTCTGGGTTCACTTCCTGCGCGTCCCACAAGCGGACTGAGCCACCGCCCCCACCGCTGCCACAGGGGTGAAAGCCACAACTGTGACATCACAGCAAGGAGTGTCACCTCACAGAGCATGACATGCCCTGGGCTGGGTCCTGGGATCCTGTGATGGTGCCTGTTTTCTGTGTTGGTACCTGCTCATGTAAAGGCTAAAGGCAGCTTAGAATAAACAGATCAGTTTGTTTATATTCATTGTGTGGCACAAAGTGAATCTAGGATGAATAGTGGAAACATTTTTCATGTCTTACATTACAATAACTTCAGAAGTCCCCCGTAACACACACACTTTTTTTTCCCTGAGACATGTGAATATTAAATTGATATCAGTCACAACCTTTAAGTGATTTTTCAGAAGTCGTGATTTGTGTGACTGAAACGGAAACCATTAGGCAACTGCAGCTGTGGTATGAAGTTATGAAGATAGTTCTCAGATGAATTCCAGTATGTTTTATGTTGTCTTAAACATTTCATACAAATGCTCTCAGGAATACCTCGTATTTAGAAAGAATCCAACTCAGGAACAAATGTTGTGATTTTAGATCACTCTTCAGTTGCAAAAAAATCACCAGCTATTGACGTGTTTGCCATCTTGCATTTAACAATCAGCATAGGTAGGATTACTCAGAGGAAAGCAATAACACGCAGCAGTAATAGGAACTATACTATATGAAATCATGGAATGAAATTTATCTTTACAGTGTCTGTTTAATTGAGATTCTATATGTACCACTTCAGAAAGCAGTACAAAACATTCATTGCTCCAGTCAAACTGGAATTTGTCCTTATGTACTGCATTATTGCTGACAAATAAGACACAGTGCAACAAAACTGCAGCTATGGAAACATTTGAATGTCTGTTTACTTCTCTTGATTGAGGCTTATCATAAAATTCTAGAAGTACAGCATCAGATACGATCTTCATTTTGACAGGTGACGGGACGAGGGGAAATGGCCTCAAGTTGTGCCAGGGTTGGGTTTCAGGAAAGATTTCTTTGCATAAATGGTGTTAAGCACTGGAATAGGCTCCCCAGGGAGGTGGTTGAGTCAGCATCCCTGGACGTGTTCACAAACCATTTGGATGTGGTGCTCAGGGACACCATTTAGCAGAGGGTTGTTCGAGTTCGGGCAGTATGGTCAGGTTGTGGTTGGACTCGATGATCTTTAAGGTCTTTTCCAACCTGAGCGATTCTGTCATTCTATGACTCAGTGATTCTCTATAGTGATTTGGTAAAATCACAAGTAATAGGAAGAAAGACACTTCTTGTTTCCTTAGCTTCCAAATTCAGATACAGTATCTGATTGTACAGCAATATATAATGGGTGATTTTTTTCCTTTATGTAGTAAAAATGCTGTGGGTTTTTGGTTTTGTTTTTTTTCCAAATACTTAGGATCAAATCCTTTTTCTAAGATGTTTGAAGTGCATGGCACTGCTTCCCTCTTTGTTGGAGAAGTCTGAGGTTTTGCTAGCCCTCAGTTTGAAAGGGCAGCTTCCCAAGTGAAATGTAACAGTTGACAGCAATACATGCTACCAGAGGGCTGGGATGCAAATAAAATGTTCTTTCACAAAACTGACTGTGAATGTTTTCATGAAAATTTGTTTCCCTTGGCACTGCAACAGAAAAGTGTTCCTTTAAACCACCTGACTTGCACCAAGGATACTGCATTTCACAGTAACGGGCTAGGAAAGCCCAGCTGTCTGTTTGGAAGTCTGCAGATGAAAATCATCTAAGTTCACCAAGTCTGTTTCTGGGCAGGAGGCTCCCAAAAGCAGAAAGCCTCGACTACAGAGTACAACACACACAGGAGCTGTTGATAAAATGGAGCGGCTATCTAATTCATCAGCATCGTAATGACAACAGCTAATTAAAGACATGCAATATCACATGGCTCTAGCAGGTACCTCCAGGGCCACTTTTCTCCCCACACTTCTCTTGCCACCTCACTCAAAGATGCAATGACATTCAAGATGGATGAGGTTGCCGTCCAGAGATACCTGACACCCTCCTTCTGCAGCATGTATTTGGTACAAAAGCTCTTCACAGACAAGACCCTGAGAATTTCGTTTCACCAATCAGATCTGGTTCAGAGTTCCATTTAATAAGGCAGAGTGCTAGTAAGATGTAAATGGAGAGATTCTTGCAGCCAAGAGACTTCAGTACACCAAAGGCAAAGAAGGTAAAGCAGACAAGGATCCTCTAGACTCTCCCAAGCAATAGAAATACATCTCTTGCCATAAGTAGGTGATGATAGGTGAAAAGAATTAGAAATAAGAGAAAAAAAGCTATTAGAAGGAGACATTTGAATAGTAATTATTTTCAGGGTGAACCATCAGCTTTGCTTTTTCTTAGCAGAAAAACTGAAGCATTTGGAAACACTTAGGCAAAGGTCACACTCAGGTAATGTGCTGTTTTATCTTTTTGGCATTATGTATAACTCCTGTTTTTCATAAAAGGAGGCACTGCTTCATGTTTTTTGTTGTTTGGTGTCATTTGATTTGGGTTTTGGGTTTTTTTGCTTGCTTATTTTTAAGAAAGCAACATTTGTTTGGCATTTATGTTGGCCAAAGATCAAGCTATCTATGTGAAAAGCAAGTTTTTTTAATGCAGAGTAGCCTTACTACTCTCCTACTGTCCTGTCAGTCATGGAGATGCAAACAGTGGAATGCTTTTCAGTATTTCTTATAGCTCCCTCCATTGGCTACATCTCCAGTAGGATCATGATATACAAAAAAAGATCTTTCTCAGGGATGGATACTAGCAAATCAATGCCATGTGATGAAGAGTTACACACACACAAAACAAAACAAAACAAAAACAACAAGCCTTTAATATTAAATCTGCTTTTGCTTCTGCTCCTGACCACCAATCCACGATTTGCTAATATGACTGTTAGCTATGTAGCAGCAAGGCAAGGTAGCATTACCCAAACAGGAATTGTCCTGTGTCATTCTCCAGATATCCTCAGATATCCAGAAAGAGTAGCTAAGCATTTCAGAATAATCTGTCAATGAATACAAGTAACTAATACATGTAAAAAACTTCCCCCTGACATCCAGCCTAAATCTCCCCTCCCTCAACTTGAAACCATTTCCCCTTGTCCTGCTGTTATCTACCCTTTGAAAGAGTTGACTCCCCTCCTGTTTGTAGGCTCCCTTTAGGTACTGAAAGGCTGCAATGAGGTCACCCCACAGCCTTCTCTTCTCCAGGCTGAACAAGCCCAGCTCCCTCAGCCTGTCTTCACAGGGGAGGTGCTCCAGCCCCCTGATCATCTTTGTGGCTCTGCTCTGGACCCTCTCCAACAGCTCCCTGTCCTTCTTGTACTGGGGGCTCCAGACCTGGACACAGTACTGCAGACGGAGTCTCCCAAGAGCAGAGTGGAGGGGGACAATCACCTCCCCGTCCCTGCTGGCCACCCCTCTTGTGATGGAGCCCAGGATACCATTTGCCTTCCAAGCTGCAAGAGCACACTGCTGGCTCATGTTAAGCTTTTCATCCATCAGGACCCCCAGGTTCTTCTCTCCAGAGCTGTCTACATATGACAGATGAAAGATGACATACAGCAAGAAAAAAGAGCTTTTTGGACGGCCTTTTCAGCTTTTTTGGCTTTAGCTCCCTTGCCCAGTGCAATCTTACCTGCCCTGAAGCTGGTCTCCGCAGCAATGTGTTGAAGACAACTTCCTGATGCAGGTGGTTGAGGAATCGAAGAGGAGAGGGGTACTGCTGGACCTTACTCTCACTAATAGAGAAGGGCTTGTCAGGGAAGTAAAGGTCGGGGGCAGCTTGGGTTGTAGTGACCACGAGATGGTGGAGTTCACGATCCTGAGGGGAAGAAGTAAAGCAAAAAGTAGGATTGCTATCCTGGTCTTTAGGAGAGCCAACTTCGATCTCTTCCGGGACCTACTTGGAGCTGTCTCATGGGCTAGGGTGTTGGAAGGCAAGGGGGCCTGTGAGAGCTGGTCGGCATTTCAGCAGCTCTTCTTCCAAGCTCGGGATCGGTGCGTCCCTGTGAGGAAGAAGTCGGGAAAGGGTGGCAGGAGACCTGTGTGGATGAGCAAGGAGCTCGTGCACAAACTCAAAGGAAAGAAGAAGGCCCATGAAATGTGGAAAAAGGCTCTGACTACTTGGGAAGAATACAGGAATGTTGTCAGGGTCTGCAGGGATGCAACAAGGAAGGCTAAAGCCCGCCTGGAATTAAATCTGGCAAAGGGGATAAGGGATAATACAAAAGGTTTTTTCAAGTACATTAACAGTAAAAGAATGTGGCTCCCCTGCTAAGTGACGGGGGTGTTCTGGTAACGGAGGATGCTGAGAAGGCAGAGATACTGAATGCCTTCTTTACTTCTGTCTTCAGTGAAAAAGCTCCCCCTGGGAATCTGAGACCCTGGAGATTAGTGAGAGGATCTGGGGAATGGAAGACCTCCCTTCTGTCAGGGAAGAGGTGGTCCGGGAGCGCCTAGGCAACACCAGTGTTCACAAATCCATGGGACCCGATGGGATTCACCCACGGGTGCTGAGGGAGCTGGCAGAGGCGATTGCTGAACCGCTTTCTGTCATCTTTGAGAAGTCTTGGAGGACGGGGGAGGTGCCTGAAGACTGGAAGATAGCCAACGTCACCCCGGTCTTCAAAAAAGGCAAGAAGGAAGACCCAGGCAATTATAGGCCAGTCAGCCTCACCTCTGTCCCTGGAAAGGTGATGGAACAGCTTGTGCTGGATGTCATCTCCAGACAACTGGAGAAAGGAGAAAAGGAGGTTATCAGGAGTCGTCAGCACGGGTTCACCAGGGGGAGGTCATGCTTGACCAACCTGGTAGCCTTCTATGATGTTGTCTCTGGCTGGGTGGATGGGGGGAGAGCAGTGGATGTAGTCTACCTTGATTTCAACAAGGCATTTGATACTGTCCCCCACGACATCCTTATAACAAAGCTGAGGAAGTGTGGGATAGATGAGTGGACAGTGAGGTGGGT